TGGTTTTTTACACATGTCCTCAATTGGTGTCAAGCTTAATGGTTATATCACTATCCCGTTTTAATTTATGATTATATTACACAATGCTCTTACTCGATCTCACACCCTCATTTATTAATTTTACATTTGATCTTTAACATCAAACTCTCCTTATCAGTAATAAAAGGCTTTAGTTTATTTCTACCTTTTGGGATTAATATCTTTCCTTCATTCAAGGAAGCTATAAACTACTATATTTAGATTGATGGGTTATACTATTCAAAATTTTGAGCAATATCTTTAATGCTATATTTCCTATTAACAAAATGATTGAGTTGATTCACTTCTTTCTACTAAATTTGCTTATAATAATTTTTAGCATTCTTTAATGCTTCACTCTTCATTCTTTGTTAATTATAGCTTTCATTATCATTGATTATTTTTATTTCCTCTAGCATTTGATCTTATAAATGATTTTATTACTGCTCTTGCTATTGCTTTAAATTCTTTTCATCACTATCACCTTTCTCATACCCAACCTTCTCATCACTATAGTATTAATTATTCTTGCCAACTTAATCCTTATCTTCAAAGTTGGATCAGATTATCAACATGTAATTGCCAACAATAACCTTTACAGGAAGTGGTTGTGAAGTATAAGCGGGCTCACAAAACGTGTGATAAGTATTTTTAATTTTACCTTTAATGTAATGGCAAAATCTAGATTTTTGTACAAAATGTTTTTTAAACTAGCCTATCTCCATGCCAACCCTGGTTTCCATAAAAAATCAAAATGATGTTTTGGCAGCCAATCGAATGCTTTCCTTGCTATTGGACAAGGCTAGGAAAGACATCGCTTCTCCATCGAAAGAAAGTAACCCACTGAGCAGACACCCTTGTACCTGTTCCCTAGTGACTTTCGGACTCTGACTCGCATGAAACCAGCTGAAAGTTATTGGACCACCATCGGCTGTGCCACCATGTAGCTTCTCTACACCAGGCTTTATCCACGAGGTGTTGAGCGAATCTGCAAATCTCCCCTTGAATTTCATTGTGTTAAAGTGTCTACATTCCCCCTGCAATGCCGCTCTCACACAAACCAGGGGAGCACAACTATAGTGTACTCACGATAAATTCTTCATGTTTCTTAATTCTTTTGAACGCCATTACTAACAAAATGGCACAGGGTCCTGTAGTAGAACTGGAGCATGGTGATGTGTGATTCCCAGCTTCAGGAGACTTTTCTTTTGCAAAGTCACTGAATGTTTCATTTTTTTTTTTCCAGGTGTGACCCATCCCTCCCGCTAACCAGGAGGAACTAGAACGGTCCGAGCTCTCAGCTCTATAGATTTGCCATCCAGTACGGCTTGACACATTCAAGAACAAGTATAAAAAGCTAATATGCATCAGGTACAGCTGCTGCTGCTCAGCTGAGGGAAGCTCAAAAGGGTAGCAAACAAAATGTAGCAAAACAAAAATGACTTAAAATGTAGCAAACAAAAAAAAAAAATTTATTTTATGCTAGAGCAGCAACTTCGTGTTGAGAGGGCGACCATTTTTTCATGGCCAGCTTCCCGTCCTCACTCGTGATGAGCACCGTGTCCTCCTCCTTGAAGTCGCCCCTCAAAATCCCTTTGGCCAGCTCGTTGGTCACGTACTGCTGGATCACTCGCTTCACCGGCCTGGCGCCATAGTTTGGATCATATCCAAGCTTGGCAAACACCTGCACCGCATCGTCCGTGATCTTCAAAGAGATCTTGCGGTGTTGGAGTCTCTTCTCCACGTTTTGCAGCTAGAGAAAAAAGCGAAGATCATAAACTGCCTGATCACAAAAACACAACTTACCTGGAGCTTGACGATGTTTTGGATCTGATCCACGTCCAGGGGCTGGAACACGATGAACTCATCCACCCTGTTCATGAACTCTGGCCGGAAGGTGGAGCGAGCCACTTCCATCACCGTCTCCTTCATCGCCTGATATGCCGCCTTCTTGTTGCCCGACGATTTGAGAGCGTCGAGGATGTGCTGCGAGCCGAGGTTGGACGTCATGATCACCACCGTGTTGGTGAAGTTCACTGTCCGGCCCTGGGAGTCCGTCACGCGGCCATCGTCGAGTATCTGGAGGAAGATGTTGAAAACGTCCCCGTGAGCCTTTTCGATCTCGTCGAAGAGAACCACCGAGTAAGGCCGCCGGCGGACGCTCTCGGTCAGCTGCCCGCCTTCTTCGTATCCCACGTATCCCGGAGGTGCGCCAATGAGCCGGGACACGGCATGTTTCTCCATGTACTCGCTCATGTCGAATCTCAGCAGCGCTTTGTCCGTGTCGAACAGGTACTCGGCTAGAGCTTTGGCCAGCTCCGTTTTCCCAACTCCAGTCGGTCCCATAAACATGAAGCTGGCGATGGGACGGTTTGGATCCGAGAGTCCAGCCCTGGAACGGCGTATAGCATCGGCCACGGCTTTCACTGCGGGGTCTTGGCCGATCAAGCGTTTGTGCAAGTGATCGTCGAGTTGGAGCAGCTTCTCCATCTCGGACTGGAGCAGCCTCGAGACTGGAATTTTTGTCCACTTGCTGACTATCTCGGCGATATCGTCGGCAGTGATCTCCTCTCGCAGCATTGTTTTCTCGGACTTTCTGTACGTTGCAAGCTCGCCCTCGGTCTCTTTGAGTTGCTTTTGCAAGTTGATGAGGACGCCGTATTTGAGCTCGGCAGCTCTGTTAAGGTCGTAGTCTCTCTCGGCCTGTTGGATTTCGAGATTGACACGATCAATCTGCCAAGCACAAGCACAATTTTGATTCCTGTTTTACGGTCCAAAAAAATTGAGGAAAACATGTGTACCTCTTCTTTGCACGAGTTGATGCGTGTCATGATCGACTTTTCCATCTCCCATTGCTGCTGCAAAGCCTTTTGCTTCTCTTTGAGAGATGCTAGCTCTGCTTCTAGCTTCTGCAGCCTCTCGCGGGATGCTTTATCATTGTCGTGCTCAAGAGACAACCGCTCCATCTCCAGCTTGATGATAGCCCGATCAATCTCGTCTAGAGCAGTCGGTTTCGACGTCCTCTCCATCTTTAGCTTTGCGGCGGCCTCGTCAACAAGATCAATGGCTATGGTACAGGTAAAAAATAAGTAATCCAGGAGATGAGTTACGAAATTGATATACCTTTGTCGGGTAAGAAACGGTCGCTGATATAACGAGAGGAAAGCACAGCAGCCTCAACTAAAGCGTTGTCTGAGATTTTTACTCCGTGGTGAAGCTCGTATTTCTCTCGCAAACCACGAAGAATGGATATCGTATCTTCCACGGCGGGCTCGGGGACATAAACTTGCTGGAATCGTCTTTCCAGAGCTGCATCCTTCTCAAGATACTTGCGATATTCCTTAATTGTCGTGGCACCAATGCACCTCAATTCACCACGGCCCAGCATTGGCTTTAGCAAGTTGCCAGCATCCATTGCTCCCGAGGTCGCACCTAAAAAAAAAACAGGAGTACCATGTTTGCAGTCGTAAATGCAAAATTGCAGACACAAATTACCTGCACCGACGACCATGTGGATTTCATCGATGAAAAGAACAATGTACCCCTCCGACTCCTTCACTTCTTTCAGAACAGCTTTCAATCGGTCTTCAAATTCTCCTTGAAACTTCGCTCCTGCGATCAACGCTCCTAAGTCCAGTGATATCAGCTGCATTTGAACAATGGTAAAATGAAATAATGGTTCCGCTAGCGGCATAAACATACCTTCCGGTTGGCAAGGGCCTCGGGTACGTCTCCTTGAACTATACGCTGAGCAAGACTGGAAAGAATGGCAGGAAGTCAAAAAGAAGCAAACAAACGACTTCCATACCCTTCTGCTATAGCAGTCTTGCCTACACCAGGCTCTCCAATCACCACAGGATTGTTCTTGGTTCGCCGGCACAATATTTGAATGCACCGTCGAATTTCGTCATCGCGACCAATAACCGGATCAAGCTTTCCCTGGCGGGCCATCTCCGTCAAATCCACTCCAAATTTCTCTAATGCCTCGTACTTGTTTTCAGGGGCTGGAACAGGAAACAAACAACGAGAGTGTTGAAACAATTTACAAAGAAAACAACGAACCTTGATCAGTAACCTTCTGTGACCCTCGGATGGCATTGATCGCATCTTTAGTAGCCTTGGCATTGAGACCGAACTGCCCAAACAGCTCCTTCCCAATGCGAATGTCTTCCGCGAGTGCAAGAACTAAATGCTCGATTGACGTGTAAGTATCTCCAAAATCGTCCATGTGAACCTTGGCTCGATCAAGCAAGGTTTCAAGACTCTGGCCGACCATAGCACCGGATATGTTTCCTGTCACCTACATCCGAAGGAAATAAGAATGTCTGCATGTAGAGAAGGAAAAAATTCGTCCGAGGTAAATACCTTGGGCTGCCGGTCGATGTATCGCTCAGTAGCTTGCAAAAGAGCCGAATTATCAATCCCGGCCTTGGTGAAAATCCTTCGAGCAAGCCCATTTTTCTGCTCCAGCAAAGCCTTGAGAAGATGCTCGGTTTCCACAACCTGTTGTCTGCTAGTTTGCGCCACTTCCACGGCCGAAACCACAGCTTGCCAAGCCATGTTTGTGAAATCCTTGGCAGAAAGCTGCCAAGAAAGAAAGAGAAGAAACTCTTAAGAGAACTAAGAAAGAGAACACTCACAGTGACCGGCGATTCCAAGCGTGAGGTGCCATGGAAGCCTCGCCTGTGATCCAGCGACCATAGGACGCCTCGTCGGTAGAGGCTGTCAGACCAGAATCGGGAAGAAACCCTGTGCGCGGCAATACCTCTCCCGAAATCATCTACCTCTGCAATCGATCCTGTGTGATTTCTAGAGCTAATCGACACCAGATTTCGCGAGGCGCCAATACATCGAGCCTGTGGCAGCAGCTCCTCGGCCGCTCGCAGCGCTCGCCCGAGCGCTCGTCCCTGCATTGCCGAAACCCTAAACTCTCATCACAAGGTGGAGTAGCTAGCAAGAAAATGCTAGAGGTTTCTGGAGGGTTTTACACGTAGAATATTCTCTTGAATTAACTCAAAAAATTTTACAGAGATAAAAAATGTTCCAATCGATTCAATCGAGCGATTTAACTGCATCGATCTTTGCTCGATCGCAATTCGGGAAAATTTACAGAGATGGAGAAATTCGCTTCGGCAACGTTGTTTCAATCGATTCAAGCGATTTTACTGCATCGATCTTCACTTGTGACAACAAAAAAACAAGCGAGAAAAAGAATCACTCACCTCAAGTTCTTCTTTTCTGCTTGGAACATCGATCCAAATCTAAAGAGCTCGCAGCGACACTGATCCTGTCACGCTAGATCGTCACGAAAATCAGTACAAACCATCGATCGATCGATCCAAACAAATCATTCTCACCTTCAATAGTCCCACTCTCGATAAAACGCTATGGCAAACTCCTGTTCGCGAAACTTGGCTTCCTCCACGGCAACTCTCTTGGCAGCCTTGGAAACGATCTTCTTCTTTGGCTTTGGCTTGGAATTCGCCTCCTCCACTGCCTGCCCTGTATCAATCTTCTTTTCTTTCTTCCTCCTCTCGGCCCCAATCCCCCGCTTATCGAGCTTCTGATGCGTTTCTAGCGGATTTAGCTGCCCTTGCTCCGCAACACCGAGTCCGGTGCCCTCTTTCCATCCCGCCTTCTTCAGGAGCTACAGCCGATCAAACAACAACAATCGATCAAATCGACCTCCAAATCCCTGCGTAGAACACATACCTGGAATCCGATGTTCGAATCGGAGATCCTGGCGTGCTGCCGCGAGTCCCTTCCGCTCCGCCGCTCCTTTTCTTGGAATGCCGCGCCACTGGATGTGGATTCGTCGCCGCCCCTCACGAATCCCTCCATGGAAATCAGAAATTAGGGTTCTTGGGGAATTTTACCAATTAGCTTAATTATTTCATTTAAGGATGAAAGAATCCTTTCCATTTACAAGTTTGCAAGAGATGTTCCATTGTCCTCGTCCAGGAAAATGCTCTCCTGGAATGGAGCTACGTCTTTGTAGCCAAAGCTGAAGTTCCTTGCAAATGTCGTCTGTGGCCTGTGGGAGAATTCCAGGTCGTGGATCTTGAAGATTTCTCTCGCCATCTCGGAGTTTCTTACCACCACCAAAGAGAGCGTTCCAGCCCTGAGGTAGACAAGGGGGCCATACTTCTCTCCAAGCTTTGCGAAGTAGCGATGAATGGGTTGACGGAGTGAGAGGAGGCATCTTATAAGACGCCAAGAATGGACCAGCCGGAAGATTTCTATCGCGCCATAAAATCCACTCCACTGCAATGATCAAGCATGAAAAAACACTCGAGAAGATGATCATAGTGGTGGTCGCCATAATTAGTCCATGACAAGATCAATACCCAGATATATGTATGGCTAGATAATCTCCTAAAAGTTTCATGTTTGGTGTAGCTACAATTTGACAATTTCATGTTTGCTACAGTCATTTGTTGAAATTAAGGTCCCAAGCCATGGTGGTTGATATTTTGATTTGGAAAGCTCAGTTCAAATCCATGTATATATCAACCTCTTGAAAAGAAACGAACTCCAAGGTCAGTTTTCATGGTTGAACACCATGGTTATAGACATTGGCCTCGTCCTCTTCCAGCACTTGGCCGGGAACCAGATTAAAACTGACAAATTGGAGGAAAAATATCTCTAACCTTGAAGTTTTCCTTCCTTGACTTTTACGCACCTGACTAATTTCTTTCTTTGCTTTTTATTAATTATTGACTTTCCTGGCAGAATAAAAGTATATCCGCACATTTGAATAAATCAAGACAAGAGAGGTGACAATAAAAATGACTGGGGCTTCTCTCGTCTTTCATGCAATCCGGGATCAGAAAAAAAAAAAAATGAAAATCACTGCTTTCGTTACTGCTGCTCTTGTTTTGGCAATCCTCTCAATGGGTGTTGGATCTTTGATCCTTCGTCGGCATGGTCCCCAAAGCATTCTTTCTGCTAGCCGGGCAGTGATCTTCCGCAAGATTGTGGAAGTCATCATGGAAGAAGTCTCCAGGGTCCATACATATTCAGCTGGAATATCAATTGGAGATCTCACTCTACAAGTCGAAGGCCGTCTAGTCTCCATAACCGTCAGTGTAGCCGAGACATGGAGGAGTCTTTTTGGCGAGCTTCTCATGTGTAGCATCTTTCCCTCACTGGGAATTATCCAGAAACCCGGCACAAGGCTGATGATGGGCTTCATGAAGCTCTACCATGTTCTTGCCGATCTAGAATTAACAAAGGAAAACTATGCTTCCATGGAGATTATTCACGAGAGGCTCTCGATCAGGTACACTGTCCTTGAAGAATCTGATTCAGAATCTGTTAGGATACTAGATCACTACCATGTAAATCGCACAAAAAGCGCTGATTATTTACGACTCGAGAGTGTTCCGGAGCTTTTGGATGGTCCTGGCGACGATGATGAGCACATACCAGACTGTTGGGTTTATAAGTCATGCATGGTGAGTGGGGGCGAGGATTCAGACATCTCACGCATCGACACTGATGGCTATCTTGAATCGGCCGATGGAGTCTATTTTCTCCGAATGCAAAGAGATTGCAACCTTGTTTTATATCTTGGGAATCAGGCAGTGTGGGCAAGCAACACGCAAAACTTGGGGAAAGGGTGTCACCTGAGGCTACAAGGGGATGGCAACCTGGTTGTTTATGATGAGAATGGGGAGGCTATGTGGAGCAACAATAAGAATTGTGGGCGTGGGTGCGGTCTTCTCTATGCTATGTGTGTTGAGCCATCAGGGCATATTGTTGTGAATGACATAGGACATCAAACGTGCATCTGGATCAGTTCATAAGTCGTTGCAAAGATTTAGAAACCAGAGATTAACAGTTCATCTCCACTTTTATTTAGGCCTATTCCACTATGCTTCGTTTCACCAAGGGAATGAAAATGAGGCCTCAGTGCCTCATTTCCATTTCCTCTTGTATCCACCGGGGGTTGGAATCCTTGTGAGCCTGTGTCCCAGCCAATCTCTTTGGCACAATCTTGAGAGCAAAGCAGCATACTCGTCCGTTCTATGGTTGACACCATCTTTTAATTAGGATTTGGTCATGAGCCACCACCGAGGATCATCGCAACATCGCGTCACGATTGCTCCAGTCTTGATCCAGCCAGCTCCCCTGAGAGATTTTAAGAAATTGATGCCAGGATTCAGAAAGAAAGATGTTGGGGTGAGGGCAATCCCCAGCTCAAGACGATCTCTGGAGAATATCCTTGATAGTGGAATATCTTTATCTCTGCTAGAATCTATCGAATCTAGGCAAGCGACCATGGAGGATCGCAGTAGGCTCTGCCAAGCGAGAACGCAGGGGGCGTTTGCCCCAATTGTATCAACTAATGCCTGCGCGGTCTTGCAAATGGTGTTTGAGCTTTCTCACCAAGTACGGATCAAATGCAATGAGCAGCTTGAATCCATGCAGGAATTTGCAAGAGCCGACAAATGTGGAAGTAAAACAAAGCAAAGATGAAATTAGAAATGGAAAGAAGCCAAGAAAGATGATCAAAACAATGGAATAGAGAAAGCAAAAGAAACATGACCTCCAAGCCCGGACATGGATCGATCAATCGTTCTGCTCGTTCGTTCGCTGGAGCACGAGATGATTCACACTGAAGAGCAAAAATGCTTCCCCCAAACCCACTTCGTTTATGGCAGACAGACAAAACAAAGAAGTTCATGAATAGTTGTCTCCTTGCTTAGAAGAACCGCTCTGTCAAGAAACTCATGTAGACTTTGACTTTCCTGGCAAATAAACGTATATCCGCACATTTGACGCTTAGAAATGGCAAGAGCGGTCAAAATAAAAATGGCTGCAACGCTTCTCTCTTCAATCGTACAAAGTCGGGATCAGAAGAGAATGAAAATCGCCACCTTCATTGTTGCTGCTCTTATGGTGTCAATTCTCTCGACTGGTGTTTCTTTGATAGTTCGGCCGCATGGCCCCCAAAGCATCCTTGCTTCTAGCCGGGCAGTGATCTTCCGCAAGATTGTGGAGCTCATCATGAGAATCTCCAGGGTCGAGACGTATTCAGCTGGAATTACATTCGGAGATCACACTCTGGAGGTCGAAGGCCGTCTAGTCTCCATAACCGTCGGTATAGCCGAGACGTGGAGGAATCTTTTTGGTGAGCTTCTCATGTGTAGCATCTTCCCCTCACTGGGGATTGTCCAGAGGCCCGGCACAAGGCTGATGATGGGCCTCATGAATCTCTACCATGTTCTTACTGACCTTCAGATGACAAAGCTAAATTATGCTTCCATGGAGATTATTCACGAGAGGCTCTCGATCAGGTACATTGTCCATGAAGAATCTGATTCAGAATCTGTTAAGATACTAGCTCACGACCATGCAAATCGTACAAAAAGCATTGATTATTTACGACTCGAGAGTGTTCCGGAGATTTTGGATGGTCCTGGCGACGATGATGAGCACATACCAGACTGTTGGGTTTATAAGTCCTGCATGTTGAGTGGGGGCGAGGATTCAGACATCTGATGGCTATCTTGAATCGGCCGATGGAGTCTATTTTCTCCGAATGCAAAGAGATTGCAACCTTGTTTTATACCTTGGGAATCAGGTGGTGTGGGCAACCAACACGCAAAACTGGGGGAGAGGATGTTACCTGAGGCTACAAGTGGATGGCAACCTGGTTGTTTATGATGAAAATCGAAAGGTTATGTGGAGCAATAACAAGAATTGTGGGCGTGGGTGTGGTCTTCTCTATGTTATGTGCATTGAGCCATCGGGGCATATTGTTGTTAATAATATAGGAGATCAAACGTGCATCTGGATCAGTTCGTAAGCCATGGTTGATGCAAGGCTAAATTGCTCCCTATTGCAAGAGAATCTTCTATTTTTTTAAAACATGTTTTATCTCCAACTAATACTTTTATTAGCTATCATTTTCTTAATCTTCAAGGAAAGGATAGTCAGTGTATCCAACCACAGGATCTTGGATGTAGAAAGTCCGGCGATCATACTTGTTTAGTGGTGCCTTAAGCTTGAATCGTTTCACCAAGTCTGGATTCGCCAGGAAATGTCTGCCATAGACAACCATGGAAGCCTTCTCGGCTCTCAGTGCCTCATTTCCATCCTCCCTGTTGTATCCACCGGCGATCAAAACCTTCCCCTTGTAAGCTCGTACTATCGGCCAGAGTGTGTGTGCATCATTCGGACAGCCAAAGTTCACTCTTGGCTCAACCAAGTGGACGTAGACGAGGTTGGCGCTGTTTAGAGCCTGGATCAAGTAGAGGCCGAGCTCCTGCGGGTTGGAATCCACACAGCCAGAGTGGTTTGAGAATGGTGAGAGACGTATCCCGACCCTGTCCGAGCCAATCTCTTTGGAGATGGCTTCTACGATCTCGAGAGCAAACCGGCAGCGATTCTCGAAAGAACCACCATACTCATCCGTTCTATCGTTGACACCATTTTTCAGGAATTGGTCGATCAGATAGCCGTGAGCCCCATGGATCTCAACACCATCAAAGCCTACACCCAGTTTTTCGTTAGCCCATGAAACTAGAAAGAAAGAAGCATAGTTTAACACCTGCGCTTATAGCGTTTCGTGCAGCCAAGCGAAAGTCCTGCACGATTGCACGAACTTCGTGTGTTTCCAAAGCTCTCGGAGTTGAGTAGCTCTTCTCTTCTCCCGAAGGAAGTGTCAATTTGCCCGTAGCTATCTTGTTGGAAGAAGAAAGAGGAGCTTCTCCGTGAGGCTGATATGCTGGAAGACGCCGCAAAGGCCAAAGAAAAAGAGTTAGAAACATCACACACACACACACAGAGAGAGAGAGAGAGAGAGAGAGAGAGAGAGAGAGAGAGAGAGGTTACATGTATGTGAAACTCTTCCAACATGCCATATCTGCAAGAAAAATATGCCCCCTTTGTCATGCACTGCCTTGACAATCGGTTTCCATGCCTCCACTTGCTCCTCGGAGAAAACCCCTGGCGTGCAAGGAAATCTATCCGAGAAAAGAGGTCAAATCCGCGAAGAACATGCACGTTTTCTCACCCAAATCCCGTGGGAGACACCGCAGTGGCCTCAGCGATGAGAAGTCCTCCTTGAGTCGCCCTTTGAGCGTAGTATGTGGCGGCGTGAGGCTGCGGTATGGATCCATAGGACCGGCATCTCGTCAGTGGCGCGAGAACGACCCTAGACGACGAAGATCAACGCTAGAACAGAAGAATTGGAGCGATGGAGAAGAAATGTTACCTGTGATTGAGCTTGAATTTGCCCAGCTCATAGGGCGATAGCAGCGGGCACTGCGGAATTGGCTCCTTGGGCGGCTCTTCATGCTCCTGGGGCGCATCCATGGCGCTGCTTGGATCGCAATCGCAAAGGGATTGTGAGCTCTCATAGTCGAGGAGCCCACGACTCTGTGATTGGACGCTCTAGATTTGCCCACGAAGCAGAACCCTATATTTCAAAATAGAGTCAAATCGCCATGTAAAAAGTATTTCGAGGTTTAGGGTTCGGATCCTCGATCGATCGATCGATCGGGCGATGGCGCTGGACGTAGCACAGGTGGTGCTCACGGCATTCGACACGAGCATGTCGCGGACATGGCGAGAGGAGGATCGGCGCTGGCGGTCCGAGGACAGAGTGTGGAGGGCCGAGGATCTCGAGTACCGGGCCGAGGAGCGCAAGTGTAGGAATCAAGAGCGGGCTATGCGCGAGGCCGAGCAGAGGTGAGAAATCCTGGAGCTGTGTCTGGAGAGATTTTTTCATGTTTCTTGATGTGCTTCGATGAAAGAGTGCCGCAGATGGAGGGATGAGGATATGGAGCAGCGGCATGTGGAGAATGCGCGCTACCTGTGGACGAGGTGAGTGAAATCCTCTCATTCATTTGTATTGTTGTAGTGTGGAGTCTTCCTTTGATCAAGTTTTCTTTCCTTGCTCTCGGTTTTGATTCTTCTCTTGCCTTATAGGTTCGTGGAGAAAAATCGTAGGGACGTGGAAGAAAAGTCCGAGCAGCTTAAAGCGATCTCCAATCTGGCAGCCTTGTTTGCTGGTTTTGCTGTAGTAACTCTAACACAATTCACCATAGCTCCAGATCCAGTTTTAACTGTAAGTTTTTTTCTCTCTCGCGCTCTAGATATGAAGTTCTTGCTTCCGTGTTTCAACAGGTTTGGATCGCGTTTTATGGTGTATTGACTGCGATCGCTGTGAGTTTTTCATTTCACATCACTCGTACTTTTATAGCTTTAACTTTGATGGTCTCGTTTAGGTTGGTCTCATGACGATATCAATGGTGACTTGTACTTTGATCTTGGGGAGCATACTAAAGAACGGCAAATCATACGTGAACGAAGAGGCCGAAGAGGAGTTCATGTTCAAGTGCCGTGACTTTGTGAAGTCTTACAGGACTGGAGACAAGCCACCGTCTCCTCGAAGAACTTTCGAAGCGTTTTGGGAGATTAGGTTGGTCTTTCTCTCTTCTTCGTTTCCAGCATTTTTTTTTTTGTTTCGTCATCTGTTTTCTTTTGCAATTTGCAGGTGTGAAGATGACTGGAAGAGAGCTTTCCAGTTCTTTGCATGGGGTAGGCCTTTAAACTCCAGTTAGTATTTTGTGACGTTTTCTCTTTTAACAGGGGTGCTGTCCTTCCTTTTCAGTTTGATCCCGATTGGGTGGGTGTATTTACCTTTTTTTCCGTCTGATGCGATCACCCTCCTCGCAGGTGGATAAAGTTTTATAACTCACGGCTCACAGCGGGACTCTTCATGGGAGTGATTGCAGTATCAATCATAGTCTGGTGAGTAAAAAAGAATGGAAGTGGTACCTGATAAAACAATACTGGACTCGTTTCAGGGGCTTTGTACAATACTTATGGGGGGGATATCTCACCAAGACGTTTAGATACAACCGGACGAGCATAGCGGAAAGTGGGAGCAGCCATGCGGCCAGCATCTCGGCTGGACTGCCATTCGATTGGCATATTGCTCCGGGGAGTGTAGATAGGCAAGTCTGACAAGAGGAAAAGAAAAGAACAATGACGTAAATCCGCAAAATAGAGTTCCCTGTCCAAGCCTTCCACTCGAGAACGAATCTTGTCATCATCCAGGGAGCTTGAATCTTCTCTTTCGTGCTTGAAAGCTCACTGGTTTCTATGTTCACTTTGTAGCTGGAAGGAAAAGTCGACTCGTAGAAAGAACGGGCCTTCCCAACAAAACCAACGAATAATTGAGTGTTACTGCATCCACGAGGTGCCACTTTTTCCCGTGCATTCCTGTGCCTCTTCGCTGATAATTATTGTCCTTTGGCTGCAGGAAGGAAAAAAGAAATGGAAAGAATATTTGTGAATCAAATTGAAGCCCACTGGTCTGACTTGAGATTTCCCATTCGGAACGTGCAGCCAGCCTTTGCAATCATTTCTGAGCGCCGCACTGGAGTAGTCGCAACCGACCACACAAATGGGGCTGAAACAACGTACCCGATTTCCAGGGAGTGATATCCTTAATGCGTGCTGTAGAGAAAAATGATACGATCATCTCTGCGTATTATCCGCCATGAGTTTGCTCGATATAAACCGGAGGCGCTGCCTTCTCTTTTGCTCGTCACAAGAGAACATCACACTTCGAGTCCAGAGCTATGTCTTCTGTGAATCCCAACTTTGCTTCCCAAGGATGGAAGTCCGCGCCTTTTATCTTCGGTATGAACTTCTGTTTTCTCTGCTCCTACTGATGGTAGTTTCTGGTTTTTCTTCTTTCAGCTGCTATTGGACTGGAAAACATGGCCTTCCTTTCGGTCGGGATAAACTTGTTTCCATACATGTTTACCACGATGCACTTCTCCATTACCGATGCGGCCAACGCGGTTACCAATTTCATGGGAACTTCTTTTCTTCTCACTCTGCTGGGAGGATTTCTGTCTGACGTCTGCTTGAGCAAGTTCTGGACAATCAGCACTGGAGCAGCGATAGCATCTGTGGTAAGCAGGAGAGTTCTCTTTCTTTTACTTGTTCTTATCTTTTATGTTTTACTGGACAGGGATTTACATTCTTGACACTTTCGTCTTCGATTCCCGCGCTGCGGCCGCCTCCATGTCCGTTACTCAGTCCAGAATGCCAGGAGGCGAGTGCCACAGGAAAGCTGGTTCTTTTCCTAGGACTCTACCTCGTCGCGATTGGGAGTGGAGCTGTCAAGAGCAATCTAGCAGCAATCGGCGCGGATCAATTCGACAGCACGGCCAACTCGAAAGAGAAAAGAGAGATATCGACTTACTTCAACTGTGCTTTCGTCGCTTTTTGCTTGGGAGCCATCGTTGCTGTCACCGCGCTCGTCTACGTCCAGGACAACGTCTCTCGCCAATGCGGCTACGCCATAGCTCTCGGCACAGTGCTGCTGGCGACCATTTTCTTCGTTTCCGGTCGCAAGTTCTACCGAAGAACATCCCTGGGAAAGAATCCACTGCTCAGTGTTGCCCGAGTTTTCGTAGCGGCTCTATACAACTGGAGAGTGGCAGTGCCTTTGGATAGCAACGAGACGATTCAGGATGAAGAATCTGGAGACAAAGTCGACAATTATATTCAACGCACTCCACAGTTCAAGTAAGTGTTTTCAACGATCAAGTATTGGCGAATAGAACTGACCAGCTTTTTTGTCTGTGTTTCCAGATTCTTGGACAGAGCAGCAGTCCACACGAAAGCCATGACAAACGACACAATCCCGTGGAACCTATGCACAGTGACACAAGTCGAGGAAGCCAAGATCGTGCTGAGGATTATACCCGTTTTCGCGAGCACCATCATGATGAACTGCGTGCTGGGCCAGCTCCAGACATTCTCCCTGGCCCAAGGCAAGACCATGGATCGAAAAGTCACGCACAAGTTCGAGATCCCGCCGGCATCGCTGCCGTTTTTCCCGCTGGCGATCATGGTGGTTTTGGTTCCGATCTACGACAGGCTCATCGTCCCGGTGATCCGACGAGCAACAGGACACGAGCACGGCATCACGCACCTCCAGAGAATCGGGGTTGGACTGCTGCTCGCGGTTTCCTCCATGGCCATCGCAGCTCTGGTGGAGGAGAGGAGGATCCGCGTAGCAACAGCGAGCAGGCTTCTGGATCGTCCAGCCGAGATTATTCCCATGAGCATCTGCTGGCTTGGACTGCAGTACGTGACGTTTGGCATCGCGGACATGTTCACGTTCGTGGGCCTCCAGGAATTCTTCTACAGTGAATCTCCGGCCGGGCTCAAGAGCATGGCGACATCGCTGGCGTACGTTTCCATCGCCATTGGCTACTTCATGAGCTCCTTGCTCGTCTCCATCGTGAACGCATGCACACGTAGGAAAGGTGGCGAAGGTTGGCTGCCAGACAATCTTAACAGGAGCAGGCTTCGCGATTTCTACTGGCTCTTGGCGTGTCTTAGCACCGCCAACTTGATCAACTACGTCTTTTGGGCGTTGTGGTATCGGAGGAGAGAACTTGCGGACGGGGAGCTGCGAAACAAGGAGAATCAGGATTTGGATGTTATGAGCTCGGAGAATCAATAACTTTTTTGGAAACATGCTCTTGTGGCAAGACAAAGGAGTAGAAAACAAAGGTGGCGCTATTAATATTTTTCACCGGTATCAATATAGTATTGTCGCATCCTCAATGCTATTCTTTTTTAAGCTAACCAAGAAGCCAAATGTCAACCAGCAAGCGGAAATAGCAATGAAAGCAATAAGAAACAATGAGAAACATGTCTCTTTTATATGATAAAATGAGCAAATTACCATCTGGACATTAGGAGGAGTTGTGAGTTTGCAACGCCTCCTCTCCCAAGTGAGACTTCTCAGAATTCTCATAAAGTTCTCACACTTTTCTTAAGGAATCCCTTTCCAAAATGGATAAAAGTACCACATTCCGAGGATGGAAGGCAGCTCCTTACGTTTTTGGTACACACAAACGAAAAGATCCAGATCTCAAAACATATGCATTCTCATGTTTTTCAATTCCAGGAACGGAAGCACTCCAAAGCATGGTCTACTTGACACTGGCACTCAACTTATCGACTTACGCAATCTTCAACCTGCATTACTCCCCAGCCGATGGAGCCAAACTCCTGTGCGACTTCTCCGGAACGGCAACGCTGCTCACCATCGCCGGTGGATACCTCTCCGACGTCTACATTTCCCAATTCACAGGAATCATCATAGGAGAAATACTTGGAACGATTGTAAGCTGCGCAAAGTTTAGCTAACAAAGATGATCATCTCTAAAACTTTCTTTTCTCCATTCCAGGGAAGTGTCATATTGACAATCTCAGCAGCAGTGCCAGCCTTGAGCCCTCCTCCATGTCCACTCTTCGATCCAAGCTGCGTCCGGCCAACAGGGAAACAAACAGCCATCTTCTACTTTGGGCTATACATTCTTGCGGTTGGCCTCGCAAACATCAAGCCAAATGCTCCAACTCTGGGGGCCGTGCAGTTCAACGAGAACGATCCGCAGCAGAAGAAGCAGCTGCTCAGCTACTTCAACTGGTTCCTCTTCAGCACTTGCATCGGCGCGTTTCCAGCAGTCACTGTGATCTCCTACGCCCAGGAGCAGGTAAGCGCTGCATGGGGATTTGGAATCCCGGCAATCGTCTTGGCCGTTTCCATCTTCGTCGTCTGTATGGGCATGCCTTACCGAGCAAAAGAACGCAAAGGAAGCCCCATCACCGGCATCGCCATGGTTTTCGTAGCAGCGGCCAGGAAGTGGAAGCTCAAGTCTCCTGATTCCGTCGAAGAGCTCCACCAGCCCATCGAAGACTTGCAGCATCTCCCTCACACGAACCAGTTCTTGTAAGTATTTGCTGATTTGGAAAGAACTTTCATTGCTCACCACCTTTTGCATGCATGAACTTTTCAAAAGGTTCCTTGACAGAGCTGCCATCAGAACAAACGACGAGGAGAAGCACTCCCGCTGGAAGCTGTGCTCTGTCACGCAGATCGAGGAAGTCAAGGCAGTGCTCAACATACTCCCAATCTTCGCTTGCACCATCATCGTCAGCTGCATTCTCTCCCAGCTCCAGACCTTCACCCTGCTGCAAGCTGCCACGCTCGAGCGTAAGATTGGCAAACACTTCGTGATGCCCCTGGCATCGCTCGCAGTCTTCCCGGTTCTAGCAATCCTCTTACTGATGCCGCTCTACGACCAGCTTTTGGTGCCGTTTCTACGCAAGATCACCGGGAACGACCGCGGCATTAGCCACCTTCAGAGAGTTGGGATCGGGCTTGTTATTTGCACACTCTCTATGGTCGTCGCGGCGATTGTCGAGACCAAGCGGCTCAAAGTTGCCCGCGAAAACAATGCGCTTGACAATCCAGCGGCTGTTCTTCCAATGAACGCCCTCTGGATGGCCTTCCAATTTCTCGTGTTTGGAATCGGTGAGCTTTTCACGGTGGCGGGGCTCCTGGATTTCTTCTACACCGAATCTCCTGAAAACATGCGAGCCATGGGGATCTCTCTTGTCAACGTCTCCTTCTCATTCGGATACTTTCTGAGCAGTGTCATTGTGTCGCTTGTCAACGCTCGAACCAAGCCCGACTGGCTTCCCGAGAACATGAACCGGGGGCGGCTCCACAGCTTCTACTGGCTCCTGGCTGCCATGGGAGCCATCAACTTCGTGAACTATTTGTTTTGGTCGTGGTGGTACAGGCCGAGGATGGAGTATGAGAGTCAGCTAGAAAGCTTCAAAAGTGTAGAAAATGTGGCATGATCAAATGAAAACACGCTTCAATTTAGTGTCAGATTTGCAAAAAATGTGGTTTAAAATGTCATTGTTATTAAAGTCTAAAAGTAGATAAAGTATAAAAAAAATAACCACATCAAAAGTAAAAGTTACTTTACCACTTTCTTTTTTCATCAAAATTTATGCTTAATACAAAATACAAATTAAATGTGATTTTAATATTTCAATTGAATTTGCGAATAGTGTATCGAAATCACTATAGTACTAGTAGGATTGTGTATTAGCGTTATTTTCAATACACTATACACTATTGCTATAGTACTAGTAGGATAGGATACATTTGTATTTCAATTATTTTTTCTGTTTATATCTACAATCTATGCTATTAAGAGTTTTATTTATTCAACTCCTGGTGTACAATTATGTTATGTGATTATGGTGGTAGAAGAAAAAGATATCATAGACAAAGTGAATATTTTATTTTGGAAACAAAAATATTGCACAAAAACTGGGTTAGGTATTAAATTTACTTTATATGTCAAACCAAGATACTATAAAAATCAAAAATAATATTCTAGAAATTATAAAAGTGGTGGATGATAACCATCACTAAATATATAGAATAACATAAAAATTTATTCTACTTGGATTTACCCAGTCAATAATTAAATATCTTTAATTTATTAGTGTGATGAGCCTCTGCGCAATATACATGTTTTTCTGATGTCAGCTAGATTCAGCTCTTTAATTGTCAATGCTTTTAGCTTGCTTACAAGTGTTACATTTGGGAGCTTTATAGGCTTGGACCGAAGCAGCATCCAAGTGTTGAATTTGGCCCTGGAATTGTCGAGGACCCGGTGTCAAGAACTTTTCCATGTTCTCCTAGCTTAATATATTCTCTCGATTGTGGAAACTGGACGTAGAAAGATCACGATGACTGTTATGTTGTCCCGGCTTCCTCTCTCCACAGCCTCCGTGGCTAGCCTCTTCGCACACATTGCTGGGTCTTTAACTGTGTCCCTGATCAGTGATATTGCAAGCTCGTTGCTTACAGTGTCCCATAGTCCATCAGTAGCCATCACCTGAAATCGAAGTTCAAGCAATGGTTTTATCATTGAAACGAAGATTGCTATCTTGTCTTACCAGGAATTCGTCGTCAGCTGACAAGGAGCTCACAGTGATATCCGGCTTGGCAGTCACTGCTGGTTTAAGATCGTTATCACCAATTGATCGAGTCACCTGATAAACGTAAAATTGTCATGACAATCTATCCGAGCAGTCCCGTTTCTTCAATCTTACCTGGAGTCCTGCAGAGCCAACTCGCCACGTATCAACTTGCCATTGCACTGATCCACCAGAGTTTACGACTCGGGTTCTCTCGATCGGATCACTAGCAAGATGATCCTTGCTTAGAGGAAACGGCTGGCCGTCACGACACAACAGAGCTCGACAGTCTCCAGCGTTGGCCACAAAAACTCTGTCGTTGATCAACAATGCTGTTAGAGCAGTGCATCCTGGATTCCAGTTCTCTCTCGAGCCTCTCTCGCTCTCAACCTCAAACTGGAAGGCCGAGTCTGTCCTCGTAAAAGCTAGAGACAGTGCCTCTTCGGGCCTACAGCAAATATACGCTCGTTAGAAAAAAAGAGCTAGAAAACCGTGCACTGCGATAATCTTACTTGGACGATGAGCCCCGCAAAAAGCTAGGAACTGCGCGAGACGCAAACTCAGCTGCTTCATAGCCTGATATAAAAGAATGAATTTTCACACATGAAAAAAGATTAGCAGAGAAACTTACCTCTGTGCCCGTCAAAAACTCCGAATGCATGGATGTCCTTGGAGCCACTGAAATTTGGCAACAAAAAATGCCTGTCCTCCATTGTCTCTCGTCCACCCCGCGTACGAAATATCCCCCAAGATAAAGTTGGCGTATACACCAAATCCCTGGAACGAAACTCCTGGCAAAGCTGAGCAACTTCACTGGTATCCTCGCAGTGATCCTGTGCTCTCGCAGCCCAGTCTATGTTCTCCATCGGGATCGAAGTCTTCGGAGGCTTTTTCACCGTGAATTCCTGCGATGGAACTTCTTCCAGCGACGAGAGCATTTGCTGGAGCCTCTCAACGATAATCTCGAAAGAAGGCCGCCGAGAAGGATCACGATGCCATGACTGCTCTATCAGAGATGAGAGTGCGACGGGACAGCCGTTTGCCTCGCTCGCAAGAACAGGCCTGAGGCCCTCGGAAGTTATAGCGGCCGAAAGTTGCTGCTCGGTGTAATTCATCTCCAAAACTGTGTGTGCCTGGGCTTCAGTCTTTCTGTCGGTGTAAGGTACTACACCAGTGAAGAGCTCGCTGTTCGAAACAAAACTATTAGCTTCAAGAAGAAATCTAGAATTTACGAGTGCTTACTTGACTGTGATGGCAAAAGCATAAACATCTGACTTCGTGGTTTGAGTTTCCTTGTTGAGAACTTCCGGAGCCATGTATAAAAGTGTGCCGACCATGTTCTTCTTGTGGAAGCCTCCAGTTGGCTTTCCTTGCGACTTCCAGTTCGTCGAGTCCAGGCGTTTCAAATCGTCTACGTAGCACGCAAGGCCAAAATCTGAGAGATGTGCGTCCCAGTTGTTGTCAAGCTAGTGCAAAACGAAAGGTAAGTTTACTAGACGTTTAGCTAGCAGAAAAACTTACAAGAATGTTGGCTGGCTTTACATCTCTGTGCACAATTCCATGACAATGAAGATATTCCAACGCACTGGCTGTAAGGAAATCACTTGAGCTCGACCAAATCAGAAGAAGAAAAAAAAAAATTAAAATGGAAAGAAAACTCACCAAGCTGGATCGTGATCTTAAGCATCTGTTGTGTAGTGAAGTTAACTTCTCGAGCGTGGAGAGCATGGAAGAGATTTCCATGCTCATAGAACTTGAACAGGAAGAGATAATCTGGAGGGTGCGCATGAGCCGCAAGCAGCGTAGAAATTCTTGGATGCTTTAGCTTCCTGGAAGAACAAAGCAAGGAAATAAAGATCTTAGTCACAAGTGTGGATTCTACGTTACGTTAGAAGCTGCAATTCCGTGTGGAATCGATCGAGATCATCCGCCGTGGACAGGCGAGGTTTCTTCGCTGCGACGATCTTTTCATTCAGCCTGGCGTCATAGACGACGCTCTCGGCACCTGGGATTCTTCGTCAATCAAAAAAGGAGAAAAGGAAAGGGAGAAAATAATTAAAACGAACCGCGGGCGATTTCCTCGTTGAGCTTGATGCTCGATCTTGACACCGCCAGTGGAATGCTCTCGCTATAGCAGCATCCTCTAAAGCACTGGCGGATCCCCACGGCCCCATCGCCTTGTAATTCCCTCATTCTTTTTCCTTCCCCTACTAGAAATCGATAGGATCGCTCGCTAGAAATCGATCGATAGGAGAAATACCGACCACCGCCAGAAAAAACCTACCTTGGTCGAAGGATTCAAATGAAATACAATAGAATACTTTGACCCTTTTCTTCCGCAAATCTAGGAACCTTTACTGCCACGTGGCGAGCCATCCACCGTACAAAGTCACGTGGCACAAGTGGTGTCCAATTTGAACACGTCTGCAACTAGGAGTTTGACACGTGGAAGGTTTTAGCGGACGGCTTAGATTGGCTCGTCCTCCCTGTACGGATCCCGCTCCCTGTACGGACTGCCTAGATCGTGCATTCTCGCGAGTTGGAGATCTTTGGTAAATTGCGTTCTCGATTTCGCGTAAGCAGCGCTCCGTGCTAGAGAGAAAAAATAAGAATGAGGTGTTTAGCTCGCAAGAACAGGAGAGGTTAGGCTTACTTGTTGTGATTCTTTGAGAGCGGGCAATGTTTTGTCTTCTCTTCCACAGGCAGAATCCACAGGTTACTGCGATCATAGCGAAGATGAACGCTCCAAATGCGATCCCAACTTTAGCTCCAGAAGCGAGTACAAAGCCGCAACTTCGAACACCGGGTATACCACAAAGACCGGGATTGTCTGAGAAGCTGCGAAAAAGTTTGCTCGGGAAAAATCCAAGTTGGAAAGACTTTAAAAGCTTACTTGAAACTCGCGCCGTGCATTGGACCAGCAAGAAGAATCCCCGGGACGGCACCACTCAAACGATTTCCATTGAGGTACCTGCTTGGTATTCAAAGGCTAAATGTTAGCAAGCACAGCCTAAAACCGGAGCTCTTACAGCTTTTTCAGTCGAGGAAGATTGCCAAATGTTTCCGGAATCGATCCATTCAAGGCGTTGTATGCCAAATCCCTGCAGAGCTATCGAGCACAGCTCCAGAGACAACGAAAAACTCAAGCGAGTACTTACAACACGACAAGGTTCGTAAGATTCCCAAACTCGGGTGGAATTTGTCCATAGAGGCTGTTTCCGCTGATGTTTCTGGAGATACAAAGAAGAGAAAAAAGGATTAGAGAATGAGGACGCGCAGCTCCAGTGTCATTTACATGCTTTGCAAGTTCGTTAAGTAGGAAATGTCCTTCGCAATATGTCCCTTCAGTCCTTGATTGTCAAGGTCCCTGAACACCATGTCTGTTAAATACAAAACTCAAATTTGAAAACTTACAATCCATCTATAAACCAGCCTCCTTTGTCGAAATGAAAGCCGCAGTTAATCCCATTCCATGGATGCTCCTGTGGTACACAGGGATCCCCATTCCATCCCACTCTTGGCGGGAGAGCTAAGGAGTTCTTAAGAGCTTGTAAAGCCCAAACTAAGAAACAAAGAAAAGAACAAGATGTGAAAACCAGAATCCAGAAGAGAAAACGTTGGTACCTTCTTTTGGATCAGTCGTGTACTCCATTCTGACGAGTTGGTAGACTTCGAAAGCGTTCACCAATATTGATCCTTGGACCGGCCTGAAAGTAATAACTAGAGTTTTTCCTTCGACAAACACCGTCTTGTTAAGCACAAGAGCAGTGAACTTCGCTCCAGCAAGACCGATGATATCTACGTCCGGGAAGATAAGCTGGCTGTTCACGAGTATATCAAACACCCTCTGCTCTTTAGCTGCGATGCCGGACGATATCTCAGCAAAATGGAACCACAAGGAGTAATTCTGGTTGGGTTCTATCTGGATGTTGTAGGACACGCTTGCACCCGTGCTGGTTATCGACGCGCTCTGATATATACTTTCCGGATAAAAGTTTGGAGCGACTGATGTGTTGTTTATCCTTTCCGTTGTCGTCAGTGAATCTGTAGGACCTTTGTCCAGGCCCAAATCCGAGTCCCAGAACCTGTCCCCACCCCAGACACTAGCGCCAGCTCTGGATTCATACCCCCTTAAGTTTTTCTCGCTGCAGCTAACTCTTTTGACCACCTTGAGCACGACGTGGCGGCTCCACGAACGTCCAGGAGCATAAGCCTGCTCATCTATCTGGCTTATTTCGAACGACGAGATCGAAGGATTCCCGTGACCGGAGCTGTGAAAGCACGCTGTGACAGCACCGTCCTCAAGATAAAGTAGAGCCTCTGGATAACTCAGTCCCCTGGATCCGCCCCAACCAGTTATCAAGCTGAAGACGAGCGTTCCCTCGAGTGAGACGTCGAACTGCGGCTCTAGATCGGAGTTATCAGCACTACCAAAGGCGAAGAAGAATCTGAGATGGTAGTGGCCATTCTGAGTTGTGATGTTGTAGCAGTTCTCGGGACCATCTGACATCTCAAAGTAGCGAGCTGTGCTTGTCTGCGGAGCCAACACATTGCGCGTCTTGATAATTGCTGTTTTGCCTCCAGAGTATCCTGTATCTTTAAGCCACAGCTTCCCGTCTGGAGATGTTGAGCTTTCGGTAGAGCCACAGGCAATGCGTATAGCAACAGGCGAACCTGAGAAGGGACAGCTCCTAGTCACTTCAAACGGATCAAGGGAAGACGGGAGAGGCTTACCAATTTCAGCAGAGACTCCAGAGAAAAGTATGCAGGAGAAGAGTAGCTGAAACAGCATACTCTGCCTACCCATTGTCTTCAAACTTGCGCTCCATGCATTCTACATACTGCTGCTGTTCCAGATCTATCCTGAAACCACAAATAAATTGGGAAGTCAGAAAATGCGAACCCATGAAAGATGAACCACCCCACCCAACGCCAGCGCTCTGTAGGCTCAGAACTGCAACAGCATTTGTCGTGCTTCAGATCACTTGACGCAAGGCAAGAAGTCCCTGTTGATTCAGAAAGACAACGAAACAAAGCAACGAATATAACAATCTTGAAGCTTAGTCTAATTACCCCTTGCTAAGCTCAAATGGCTTTCTGTCAGTTCCGACAACAGTTTTCACCTGACACTTGACAGCAAAAAACAATCGAGGTTTGAGAATTAAGACTAAAAAACTGTCCACACTCACAGCTTTGCCGGAAATAAGCGGACTACAAACCTGGGAGTAACCATTGAAGCAATGCGTTCCAGTGATAAAACCTACAGACAGTCTTGAGTAGTCTGTACAGGCTGCAAAACCAGGAGATGGCGATCCTTGTTTTTTGCCATATTGTCAAGGCAGCTCTGCAAAAAAAAGAAAAACACGAGTTGCATCAGATCGTCAATGTGTTTCCAGAAATGGGAGGCATTACTTGCAGAATGCAAAGCGCAGCCATCTTGTCCACAATCTGTTTCCTTCGACGAGGCTCCAGTTTTAAGAAGCTAATAGCACCTTCCACTGTCTGCAAAACCGGGAATGCAATGAAGAAAATATAGACAACAAAACATACTCTGGATGTAAGACGCTCGTCCCAGAAAACGAAACAGCTATCCTGGAGCATTTGGTTCTGCTGGAGCTCTCTCACAAATTGTTCCACCAAGGGACCCTGGTAGAAAAGCTCAACCAAGTTTTCAAGGTGACAAGAAGACGAGGCAAGGAGACTACCTGGTAGCCTTGAAATCCTGTAATCCTGAGAGGATAGCCGATGACGAGCCCCGGCGCTGAGAGCGTCTTTACCTGCGGGTATACATTGCTGGAAAAGACGCGGGAAACAAACCATCAATCAAGGCCTACCAGCGTTCCGAGCACATTCGAAGCATAGCCCGCGGGTCCTCCTTTGATGTCGATGACACTAGGAAAGCACAGAGAAAAACATGGAAATTTTCCAAGAACAGAGCAAAATCTAGCTTACCTGTGAGGATGCGCAATGCGATACTCTGAATCAGACACAGCGATGCCAATGTAGCGCGTGCCTACGTCGAGGCCGATCAATGGGCCGGTGGGCGCCCTAAGCAGCCGCTGGCAGAGCTGCGCGATCTTCACTTCTTGCATCTTCCACCGCGAAAACCCTAAACCTAAAATCAAATTCGGGTTTGTTGTTTTTTTTTATAGCAGCTAGCCTTAAGTGAGATCACGGTCTACGTTAGCTCGGGGAGGCTTTGTAAAGGCAACATGGACCTTGTATCGCGCGGATTGCAAGAGCTGCAAGGCATTAGCAGAGGTGGTGAGCCTTGTCAAAGACTGTGCGTGTTTCCTTCTTCGATGAGAAGGCATGGAAGCGGATGAAGCCAATCCCAAAGTTGGCAGCAAGACTTGCTCACGAGGTCTTCAGGAACTTCCTGGACGTGTTCAAGGGTGCAAGGGCGAGCTTGAGGACAAAGAAGTGGTCTTCTACACGAAGCTGCCGCTTTAACACTCCCCGCAAAACCACACCAAACAAACTTTGTCACGTCCTAAGGGATTGGTGAAGATGTCTGTGAGCATCTCCCCACCTATGTTGACTTGTTCTCACACGTAATAGAATTGCTTATCGCTGAATGTGCTTTGCTGCCTTTCAATGCCTAATGGTTTTGCATTAAATTGGTGACGAATGAAGGGAGGGTATGGATTGTGGGCCAATCCCTCCAGCACCAGCAGCCTGTCCAGGAGCTCCATCTTCTCTTGCTGCAATGCCTTGACCTTAGACTAGACTGGGTGGACTTGACCCCCTTCAGCAAAGAGGACTAGATACCTATGATATAGAGATACTTGTGATATGCACAGGCGTGAGTGTAGATAATTTTACTTGTAGATCCAGAATTGTTGGCTAGTTCTCTATATATCTTTTTCAGGATTTCAAACGTGTGCTTGACACTGAAGAAAAAGGTACGCACTCATTCTGAATTTGCATTTTGTTTCTCAAAAGCTAGACATTATATTGGCCTGAGTGTTGCAAAAGGGCCATTCAACTTAGTTATTTTTTGCTTACTAACTTTTTGCTAGGAAAAGGACGATGAAAAAACCAATAAAGAAGTATTTTTTTTAGACCTTTTTACAATATTTGTAACTATTCCATTGCTTTTTTATGCAGACCCAAAGTGAATCATACGGTAGCAAAGACATGAGGACGAGAAGCTGCTATACCATACCAAAAAACGATGATGATTATGAAAGAATGGAGTATGAAATGATAAATGAAGAAGAAAAAGGCATACAAACCAAAAAGTGGAAAAATAACCTGCCACAAAAAGCAAATAGAAGATATATCAAGTAAAAAGGAGATTTGTTGTTTCCTAGTTTATTTATATTAATTATGATTAATTTGTATGGCTTTGTAGTTTACATCCACACTAGTATAAGCATTGCTAGCATGGCTGAAGAAGTGGTGGCCACAAATACACATAATAAAGTGTGTTTTTGGTTTATAAAATTATGTGAGTTTTTATATGCTTTTGTAAGAATGAAAATAAGCAAGTGATATTGTACAATAAACTACTTTTTTCGTATAAAATGTGGGAGAAATAAATAATTAAAAGCCAGGAGAATCTGACCTATCTTACACTACCTTTCCAAATATATAAAAATATGTGAAACAACATATATAAATTGTACTAAAATTTAGGTGTATAGAAAAGCACTATATCTATATTGGTGAACCATATAAAAGAAATGCTTTTAAACTATACCTGAAATCACACTAGAAACCACTCATAGACTAATTGCAAAATATGATATTAATCATACTAACAAAAAAGTTATGTGCAAAACCATTTTTGTTATGGTCCCAAACTAGAGCATGACATTGCATGCAGTAACACTTAGTTTAGTGTTATTTCTATTTAATAATTTAATTAATCAAATAGAAGTTTATAACTATAAATATGTTTATAATTTTTAAACATCAAGATTAATCTTATTTAATATCGACCATTAGATGGTAGAATAAACTAGAGTATACTAGGAAGTGTTTAGGAAAATTTAAAAATTATAAACATGTTTATAAAGTATAAATACAAGATTAATCTAAATGAATAACAACCATTAAATGGTAGGATATCCTAGAATATTCAAATTTATTCTAGGTATATTCACTACCACACTCCAAAAACCATTCCCAAAACCACAAAATTCAATTTTTTTACACATAATCTTGCAATTAGTTATATACATAAAACCAGACAGCAAAGTACTCATGAAGGTGTTAAACACGTTGTTCCAATCACATATTTCATGAATAAGGTTGGCATCATGAAGAGTGCCCAATGGCCAGGTGATCTCCTTGCTATGTCTCAAGCTCAGCAGACTAAGGAGCTAGTTTGTATTAGATAGGGCTGAGTCCTGAGAACCTGTTTCCCAGTCACAAATATATTAATAGGCATGTAATACCTAAGTTGTTCTTCCAGCTGCAATTTCTGAAACTGTAGCTTGATGGCACTCTTTCAGTGTGATATTGTATCTTAGTTTTGGCCTTATTCGATTGGGATTCCCTGAATCACATTGTATTGGAACAACCTGAACAAACCATTTAAATATGTATTTGTGGTTGAAAGTGATCATTGGAAATATGCGACCACATGCCAGATCACGTGCTTATGTTTTGAACAGCTGTGGAAATCCGTGATCCACTAATAACAAACACTCGACCCTTGAGCACTTGGATCATTGTGCGGAACATCAAGGATGAAGCAAGCTTGTTTTTGTTTCTTCTTCTTGGCGGTCATCCTGCTAGAAAGTGTTTATCCCGCTACTCCGAAATGCCATCCGGAGGATCTGAAAGCTCTTCTGGCCTTCAAGGCAGGTATGTCCCACTTGGAGCACTGGCATGGCACCGACTGCTGCAACTGGGACGCAATCCGTTGCAACAATCAGACCGGGCGAGTCGTAAGTGTGGCCTTCGAGGGCATTGGTGGTCCTGACTCGAGATTCAACTACGACCGCATGAAAGGTACCATCTCTGAGAACTCACTTGGCAAACTCGCCTTCTTGGAGCAACTGTACATGAACACGGTGCCGCTTGTGACTGGAGGTATCCCGACTTCGGTCGGAAACATCCCCACCTTGAAGGAACTGGTACTGGACAAAACTGGTCTTTCCGGTCCCATTCCAGCTTCTCTGGGGAAGCTTTCCAAGCTTGTTCTGTTATCTTTCACAGGGAATAAGCTTTCTGGTTCCATTCCTCACGAGCTCAGCTCGCTCCAGCATCTCCAGTCACTCACCTTTCGCGAGAGCAGCTTGACAGGCAGCATAAGCTCCTTGGACTTTGGGAAGCTGAGATCTCTCACGGACCTTGACTTGTCGTATAACGCATTCACAGGCTCTTTCCCGGCGTCGTTGTTCGGATCGGTAAAGCTCAAGACACTTTCTGTTTCTCACAACCAGCTCACCGGTCATATCCCTGCGAGCATCGGCAAGCTCACCCGTCTGGAGGTTCTCGACTTGTCGTCGAATAAGCTGTCTGGTGGGCTTCCTAGCGAGTTGTTCCACCTGAAGAAGCTGGCTGGTCTGGATCTGTCAGGCAATATGCTCTCCGGGGAGCTTCCCAAAGCCGCACGCAAGTTTCCAGCCTCTGCGTTCGCCAACAATCGCCTCCTCTGTGGAAGCCCGCTTCCACCTTGTAAGCTGTGAAATGATTGCAACCTCTCGACGCAGCTCTAGGATTTTCACGGTGAACGCTGCACTGTTGTTAAGATTTATTTGAAAAAAATAAAAATAGACAACCAATGTCCCACTTCGACTGGGCTGCTGTGGAGGGAGTTGGGCGACGCGATACCCGCATTTGATGAACGAGGTTGGCGTCAAGTGGCCGACAGGAGTGACGGGTGGCCAGGTGATGCTACAGAAGCACGACAAGGAGCTCCTCGGCATGTCCCAAGCTGAGCAGACTAAGCAGACTAACAAGCTTCTTCTCCCCATGGGGCTTACCGTCTAGTTGCAGCTCCCCAGCACAGTTTTTATTGACTTTAGTTCATTGTCTTACACCAATTCGAATTTAAAAGTTGTTCATCCACAACATGAAACTAGGATACAATATCATACTGGAAGAGTGCTATCATTTCAATTGCGATTCCTGATGTTTGCTGAATCACGTGCTCATGTTTTGAACAACGTGAACAAGCCATTTGGATATTGATTTGTGGCTGAAAGTGACGGAAATCCGACCACTGATAAGAAGCACTGACAAGGATATCACTTGGAACACTGGCATGGCACCAACTGCTGCAACTGGGACGCCATCTGTTGCAACAATCAGACCGGGGGAGTCGTAAGTGTGGCCTTGGTCGTCCTGACTCGAGATTCATGAAAGGTACCATGGTATGCACCAACAAGTGTCCCAGTCTCCGAGAACTCGGAGCAACTGTATATGAACACGGTGCCGCTTGTGACCGGAACTATCCCGGTTTCGTTCGGAAAATCCCCACCTTGAAGGGGACAAAACTGGTCTCTCCGGTACCATTCCAGCTTCTCTAGGGAAGCTTTCCAACCTGGTTGTGTTGTCTTTCACAGGGTGGATTGGTGAAGCTCAAGACACTTGCTTTTTTTGACAACTAACTCACCAGTCTCCGGCCCGGGTCAACCCCAAAGACCAAAAAAGCCGCCCCGTCTATAGAGTCAGGCCCCGCGCATCCCTGCGAGCATCAGCAAAGCTCACCCGTCTGGAGGTTCTCGATTTGTCATCAAACAATCTGTCTGGTGGGCTTCCTAGCGAGTTGTTCCAGCTGATGAGCCTGATGAGCCTATCTTTGGATTCCAACAATCTGTCTGGTGCTGTCCCAAGCGAGTTATCCAGGCTGAAGAAGCTGACTGGTCTGGATCTGTCAAGCAATATGCTACCCGGGGAGCTTCCAGGAGCCGCACGCAAGTTTCTAGCCTCCTCCTCCGCCAACAATCCTGGCCTCTGTGGAAGCCCACTCCCACCTTGTAAGTTCCTGCAGCAGCCCTCTGAATTCGTCTTGGACTTTCACGATGTATGTTGCCGCTGCAAGTTGCTAAAATATGATTGAAAAAAAAAACATTTTGGGGAAAAAAAGACCTGCCGATGTTCCACTGTAATCAATAGCAGCGTGAGGAAAGCGTGGCCTTCGCTTTTTAGAAATGTGGAGATAAGTGATGCAGCGAGCCAATTATCGAGATATTCCTGCAGAGACCGGCCACAGTCAAGTTGCAACAGTTTTTTGCCATGTTGTTGAACCGACATCAGCACTAGGTCACGACTGTTAGAACAGGGGTGGTCTGGAAAGGAAGAGACCAACACAAGAATCAAAACTTTTAACAACCCTATTGCTAATATTGCAAGGTTAGATTAGTTCCTGGTTAGGGCAGTGAAAGCCTGGCAGTAGGGTTACTAAGGGTTTTGGTTTTTACACTGGTCTCTACCTTCTCGACAATACAGCCTCTCGTTGATATGCCTTAGCACCACCATAGTTGAGGCATGTTCCCTCTTGGTGATCTTAACAACAAGCATTTTTATTCATACAATCCTCTGGAACTTCTTGACTACCGGAAGAAGATGGAATATTCCCTTGGTTCTACAGTCCCTTTTTCTTAACAACCATTAAAGTGTGCCCTTTTTGCTTCTCCACTTAGGGCAACTTCACCTATTTTCGTTTTCTTACTCGGGCAAAGTTATGGACTACTCGTTGTTACAAATAATCGAGGAGGAGGTACTGGTGCGTTTGTCAGCAGGGTTACTACACACTCGCGTAAGATTAGTGTGCAAGCAGTGGAAAGATCTCATAGACTCGCCTAGGTTTAAGTCTCTCCATCACAAATACCACTCTGGATTCAAAGGTGGTGAGCGAAGTCCTCCCATTATTTTGGGCCTTGAGTGCAATGGTAGCCTCGCCAAATGCAATCCCTTTGGACAAGGAAGAGACAAGGATTGGATTTTGATAAACCCACTACCAGAACTTCGCTTCTATCTTCTTTCATGTGCTGGTGGACTGATGTTTGGGCGGATTACCAGCAACAAGAGCTATGTTGTGTTGAATCCCCTCACTGGGGATCTCAAGGTCCTCCCACCGCCACCTTTGGAACCCCTGCCCTCCACGGCCATCATGGCCACGCCCACGTCGAGGCAACGTTACTGGATTTGCATTTCATATATGCGCGTAGTCTACTTGTACGATTCGAGTGTAGGGATTTGGCAAGACGTTCCGCTGCCTGAAGGATGGAAGCATCACTGCTATGCAAAGGCGATCAATAATAAGGTGTATTACTACTGTCGTGGACTAGATCATGTTGATACCGGTCTCATGGGAGTTTTGAGCCTGGATCTGGAAAGTTTAAACTGGTCTACGGAGTGGGCAATCCATGGGTATAGTACGCCAAGCCGTTGTTGTATAGATTTTCTTGTATCGCCAGCGCTGGAATTTTTCAAAGTCACTGTAGACTCTATGTATCATCTATCAAGGCTGGATGCTGCATCTAAAGGCTTTGTCGAGGAAGTTGGTTTGCCTTTGAATATGAAAGAAGGCATGTCTCATGTTCCATCTTGCTGCTATAAGGACACGATTGTGGTTGCCGGTCCCAAACAATTGGAAGTGCTGGATTACAAGACCAAATCTTGGACCACCCATAAAAACAAAAAGTTTTCCAGATTTGATTTCTTGTTTCTATTCACATCATCCTTGTTTGATCCAAAACATTGATGTTAAGGTTTAACTTGAAAATCAAAAGTAGTTTGCTTCTGTATAAATAATATATAGTATTACAACATATACTAGTGGACGCTGCACTTCGAGGTAGCTAGCTTGTACTGGAATCTGAAAGAAGGCTTGTCTCAACCTTGCTGCTACAAGGTTGCTGGTCCCAAAACATTAGCGATTGCAAGACCAAACTTTGGAGCACCAGTTTCTTGATTTCATTCGTTGTTTGATCCTCGTCAATGAATAAAACCACGTTTTAGATAATTGAAGTACATTGACAAAACTAAGCATAAATGCATCAAACTTTTGATCATACCTATCCACAAGAGTGGAGTAGGGCTTTACCGCCATTGGGCACCGAATCTACGGTACACCCAGAGAAAGAAGTAGCCACGTCACCGGGCGGGTATCCACGTCACACTGCCATTTTCAGTACCGACCACTCGCAGGGTACCAGCTCACGCCCATTTAATTTAAAATCCGAACTCGCGGGATATCGATATCGATATCGATTGAGAGCTCTGTCCAAGCGAGCGAGGGAGCGAAGAACAAAATGGGCGCCAAGAAGCTGCTGGTGGAGATCGCGAGCGCCGCCAATCTCATGCCCAAGGATGGCCAGGGATCGGCGAGCCCCTACTGCGTGGTCGAATTCGATGGGCAGCGCCAGCAAACGGAGGTGAGAGAGAAGGATCTGAATCCGGTGTGGAACAGCGTGGTAGAATTCAGCGCGCTCGATTCCCCGTCCATGGAAGCGCAGGCTCTGGTTGTCACCGTCTTGAGCGTCAAGAAGCCATCGCAGAGGAGGCCCAGTTTCCTGGGAAGAGTGAGGATCCGGGGAGCAAATTTCGCCAAGCAAGGGGAGGAGGCGCTCGTCTACTATCAGCTCAAGAGGAGGAGCTTGTTCTCGCAGGTGAAAGGTGAGATTGGGCTCAAGGTGTGGTGGACGGACGAGCCAGATCCTCCGCCTCCAGCGGAGGCCCCTGCCGAAGCAGCCGCCGAAGCTCCCGCCGGGCCTGCCGAAGCAGAGGCCCCGCCCGCCGAGCCTCCAGCGCCCGAAATAGAAGCTGCGACGCCCGAGAGCGCCGAGGCAGTAGCACCTGGCTCGGCAGGCGGCGCCGCTTCCGAGCCAGGTGCGCCGCCTGCCGAGCCTAGCCCCGAGGCTGCCCCCGAGCCTGAGGCGAATAGAGAGGACGAGCGCATTGAGGTGATCGAGAAGACGATGATGTCGCTGCTCGAGCCCGTGTATTGGGATCACAATCTACCGTACGCGTGCGAGGTGCCTTGGAACAATTTCATTGCCGCGAGCGTTCTCGAGAACCCGTACATCAATCTGCCGGAGGAGAGCTGGATCATCGAAGCAGCAAAGACTTGACAAGAGCATAGGGAAGAACTAAAGAACTTGTATATCACTGTAATCAAGTAAAGTGGTCTGGAAGTAATAGTTTGCAGCAATAGTTTCAAAAGGTTCCTAGAGTTTGTCTGAAGCGAAACTTTCACTGTTCGCTTTCTTTTTGCAAAGTGTTTCTTTATCTAGATAGAATAGTATCGAAAGTTTTTTGTACTCGAAAGTTTCAGAAAGTGTATTTTTGATCGTAGATGTAGTGTGGGTGGCCAGAAATCGTCAGCGAAAGGCATGCCTGTGCTCGATTGGTCACGGTTGACAATGACGACTCCATGATCTCGACCTTATCTCGCAGAAATTGTCGCGAAGAAATTAGAAAGCTTTGTCCAAATTAGATGGGCGAGTCAACCAAGCCTGGCACCAGCGCCTAGATCTACAAGTCGATGCGTGAGATAAACGACGCCACCAGCCCTAAAAAACATTTCAAAATTAACCTCTTAATTAAATTAACAACCATTCACATAGAAACAACATAGTCAAAGAGACAAGACAAGGCATTTGTTAGAATCTATTTCCCCATTAAAAAAAATAAAAAATTCATAAAAGCATAATTTTCAACTCCTCGTACGACCGAAAGTGGCAATCGAAATATTAATCTATTCCAGGCTGGGTATATTCCAAGCGATAAGTGAAAATCTAATTTTCCAAAATTCAAGAAAAGCGACAGAATATCCTGGCTGACTGACGGCGCGATCCTCACGCCGGACATCATAACCGTCCGACAACGACCGGCGGACCGGGAGAGCCGGTCGCTCGATCCGGGCCGTCCAATTCCTCTGCGTTAGCCGTCAATTCCAGATCACTGTGGAGTGACAGAGGCAGGTTCTACAGGGACGAGCTGGAGGAATGCGTACAAAGTTTTTTAGGGCTGGGCGCTGTGGCGTCGTTTCTCTCACGCATCGATTTGTAGGCAGCAGCAGGAATCAGCGCTTAGATCTAGGCGCTAGCGAATGGCGGATTGATTGAGAATCAGGCGTGATTTCGTCCGGGGAATGGCGATCGGGAGGACAATGCTGGTGCTGGACTGATTCAGGCAGTGTTCCAGGGGTAAGCATCGAGAGGAATCGCTGGTTTCCCGCGAGATTTCTGCTGGGGAGCGTATGTTGCAGGCCTCAATGCTCGCGGCGGATTTCCTTGACTAGTTAATTCCCGATAGAACTTCTCCTCTTCAGGCTGGGATAGCGAAAAATCTGGCAAGGGCTGGGTCCCTGTTCGATCGTCAGTCACACCACGCAAGGTATGTCTAGTTTTTTAAAGATATTTTAGAATGGGTTCGTTTTTCTCTCATGAAGGTTCTATACAATCTCTGATAGAACAAAAAAGGATCCTTTCGTCTGACAGGTACATGTTTTCATGCTTTTTCTTCCTATGATAGAAATGAAGTTGTCACACTGATCTCTTTTTTTTCCACAGGAGTGCTCTCTAATGCTTTAGTCACGTACGAAGGACTGCCATGGGGAGGAAACTGTTTGTGGAGGTTTGTAATGCTGCGGATCTCATGCCCAAGGATGGACAGGGATCCGCGAGTGCTTACTGCACGCTGGAGTTCGATGGACAACGTCGGAAAACTGATACAAAGGCCAAGGATTTAAATCCAGTGTGGAACACCGTCGTCGAGTTTCCGATACTCGAAGGCAAAAATCTCGAAAGTGAGGTGCTGGAGTTGTCAGTGCTGTGCGAGAAACGAGGTGCGCAGAGGAAGCCAGGATTTCTGGGAAAGGTGAAGATTCCAGGGAGGAGCATTGTGAAGAAGGGGGAGGAGGCTCTTGTCTACTATCCTCTGGAGAAGCGAAGCATGTTCTCGCAAGTCAAGGGAGAGATTGGTTTGAAAGTTTGGTGGAGCGACGATCCGGATCCATCACCGCCAGCTCCAGCTTCTCCTTCGGCTGCTGCAGCTGCTTCTGGTGGTGGTACTCCTCCAGCGGAAGAAGTTACTGCAAAAGACGCAGCGGTGCCAGAAGTTACAGAAGAAGCTCCTGCTGCGCCTGCTGCTGCTGCTGCTGCCGCTGCCGCGGAACATCATCCAGCTCCGTCCGAGCCAGCTGAAGCTCCTGTCGAACAGGTACGAGAAATTCATCTCGAAGAGATGGCGGAGCCGAAGGAAGAGAAGCATGAAGAGACCGAGGAAAGGAGAGAAGACGCAAGAGAGGAGGTGCCAATGGAGCGGAAGGAAGAGCAAGAAGAGATGAGAGAGATACCGAACGAGAGCAAGGAAGAGAAGCACGAGAAGGAAGAGGAGAAGAGAGAAGAAGCGAGGGACGAGAAGAAAGAAGAAGAAAGGAAGGAAGACAAGAAAGAGAAGGAGAAGAAGGAAGACCACCACAAAGAAGAGAAGAAGGAAGAAAAGAAGGAAGAGAGGAAGGAAGAAGAGAAGAAAGAGGAGAAGAAGAAAGATGAGAAGCATGAAGAGAAGAAGAAAGAAGAGAAGCATGAAGAGAAGAATGAGGAGAAGCATGAACCGAAGCAGTATGAAGAGAAGAAGAAAGAGGAGAAGAAGGAGAACAAGAAGGAGGACAAGAAGGAGGAGAAGAAACCAGAGGAGACGAGAGAATATCGAAGTGTGGGAAGGAGGGAAGAACAGAAAGACGTGAAGGATCAAAAGATAAAAGAGAGGAAAGGTGACGCACCGACAATCGTCATAAAGAGGCACGACGACGAACACGAACACGAGCTCTCTCGGAAGCTAGTCCGGGCAAGCACTGTGCCATCGACAGACTTCCATTTGAAGGAGACTACGCCCGCTCTTGCCAGAGGAATCGGAGAGAAAGTGGTCACGTATGATCTGGTGGAGAAGATGAACTACTTGTTCGTCAAGGTGGTGAAGGCCCGAGCTCTGATGGAATCCGGCAGCGGCTCCTCTTATGCAAGGATAGTTTTTGGGAGCCTCACGGCAAAGACGAAGGAGGTTGGCAAGAGCCTGTTCCCGGAGTGGCACGAAGTCTTTGCCTTCAGCAAGGATAATTCTGCAGGACCCGTGGTAGAAGTCAGCATCTGGGACCACGAAACAGATCAGTTCATGGGAGCTGTCGGCTTTGACTTGCAAGAAATTCCTTTCCGAGTTCCTCCAGACAGTCCCTTGGCACCGCAGTGGTACAGGCTCGAAAACATCAGCAAGAATGCCGAGAAGAAAGTCCGAGGGGATGTGATGCTGGCTATATGGTGGGGAACGCAAGCCGACGAAGCTTTCACGGAAGCATGGCAGTCGGACTCTGGAGGATACGCACACACTCGAGCGAAAGTTTATCTCTCTCCAAAGCTTTGGTACCTGAGAGTGAACGTCATCGAGGCTCAGGAGGTCCAACCGATGGACAGGACGAGATTTCCAGAAGTGAGCGTTCGTGCACAGCTGGGGTTCCAGATCTACAAGACGAAGGTGGCGAGCAACCGTAACACAAGTCCTCAGTGGAACGAGGACTTGCTGTTCGTGGCCTCGGAGCCTTTCGAAGACGAGCTGCTGCTGGTTGTCCAGAACAAAACCGCCAAGCCCAACGAGGAAGAGGTGCTCGGGATGGTGAAGATAGCTCTCGCCGGGATCGAGAAGAGGATAGACCATCGCCAGGTGAACTCCAAGTGGTTCGATCTCGTGAGATACAACGGAGGTGACAAGCACTTCCACGGCCGGCTTCACTTGCGGCTGTGCTTCGATGGTGGCTACCATGTCATGGACGAAGCCACACACTACAGCAGCTGTGTTCGGCCGACGGCCAAGCAGCTGTGGAGGCCAGTGGTGGGAGTTCTCGAGCTCGGGATTATCAGGGGCAAGGACGTCCATCCAATGAAAACAGTCGACGGCAGGGGTGCTACCGACGCTTACTGCGTCGCAAAGTATGGCCAGAAATGGGTGAGGACGAGAACCATCGTCGACAACTTAAACCCCCGGTGGAACGAGCAGTACTCCTGGGAAGTCTACGATCCATGCACAGTTCTCACGGTCGGGGTGTTCGACAACTGCCATGTCCATCCTCACCCGGAAGGAGGCAAAGACTTGAAGGACTTACAGATTGGCAAAGTTCGTATCCGGCTGTCGACGCTGGAGAGCGAGAGGATCTACACCAACAGCCATCCGCTGCTCATGCTCCAGCGCTCCGGCGTGAGGAAGCTCGGAGAGATCGAGCTCGCCGTGCGGTACTCGTCGGTTTCCATCGTCAGCGTCATGGGTCTCTACTTCCGGCCGCTGCTGCCAAAGATGCACTACTTGCATCCGCTGGGGGTGACGCAGTCGGAGATCCTTCGCATCAGCGCGATGAGGCTCGTCGCCATCCGGCTCAACCGTTCCGAGCCGCCACTCCGCCAGGAAGTCGTCCAGTTCATGCTTGACGCCGACTTCCACGTCTGGAGCCTGCGGCGCTCCAAGGTGAACTACTTCCGGATCATGAACTTACTGGCGGGTCCGATGGCCGTGGGGACGTGGTTCCACAACATCTGCCACTGGAAGAACCCGGTGACAACGCTGCTCGTCCACATCCTCTTCCTCATCCTGGTGATGTTCCCGGAGCTCATCCTTCCGACGCTCTTCCTCTACCTCTCGCTCATCGGCGCCTGGAGGTACCGCTACAGGCCTCGATCGCCTCCATCCATGGACGGGAAGTTGTCACAGGCCGAGCAAGTGGAACCCGACGAGCTGGACGAAGAGTTTGATCCAATCCCGACGAACAAAGATCCCAGCGTCGTCAAGGCTCGCTACGATCGGCTCCGGATAGTTTCTTCGCGGATCCAGCACGTCCTGGGAGACATAGCCACGCAGGGGGAGAGGCTTACCGCGCTGCTAAGCTGGAGAGACCCGCGAGCGAGCGGGATAATGGTGGCGGTGTGCATGACCATCGCCATCTTTCTCTACGTGGTTCCACTCCGGGTGATCGTGGTGATCGTGGGGCTCTACGTTTTGAGGCATCCAAAGTTCCGGGAGCGCTTGCCGGGCTGGCCGATCAATTTCTTCCGGAGGCTGCCGTCACTGGCAGATCGTATACTTTGATGTACGTTGATGTACCGCGCGGCTTACCGTGTGGCGTGCAGTGCGGCATTCTTTAAAAAGCTATCTTGCAGCGCGGTTGAAAATGCATTGATGGTGGGCAAACGCAGCTGTACCGCGCGGCTTGCCGTGCGGTGTTTATTTGCAGTGTGGCACTCGTTATCTTGCAGCTCAGTACCGTGCGGTGCAGTGCGGCATTCTTTAAAAAGTTACCTTGCGAGTACCGTGCGGCATTATTAAAAAGCTACCTTGCGGCGGAGTACCGTGCGGTACAGGGCGGCATTCTACCTTGCAGCTCAGTACCGCGCGGTGCAGCACGGCATTTCCTAAACTCTAGCTTAACAGTGCGGCACGGCTGTCCAAGAGAACTCCAAACACCATGAACACGGAGAATGGAACACCAAGGGACAAGAGTATATAGAGAGAGTGGATGATAGTAGCATTGTGTTTCTCGTTTAACACCAAATATTTGGTCTCGCGCGTTTTTGCGAAATATTTTAGGGCGAGATGGGATCGAGGGGAGCGGTGAGCAACGCGCTCCTTCGCGCTCTGCGACGATCGATCGTAGCGCGTGTCGCGCCCGGCTCGGTAGCAGCGGCTGGATCGCGCTTAGGTGAGGAGGAGCGAGGAGCTAGATTGAAAATGTGGGAGGTTTTCGGGGTTTTGAGTGGCGCTGTGGCGATCGGCAGCTGGATCGGGCAAGGGAAATGCTCGCCGGCGCATTGCGAGGAGAGCGAGGAAGGGAAAGGGAAGTTCTTGATGAAAGGTACGCGATGAAGGTCTTGCGTGCCTAGTATTTTGATTCCTTTCTTTTGTAGAGTCTTATAGACGAAGGGTGTTCTTCAAGTATGAAAGGCGCATCAGAGCTTTCAGCCCTCCTGAGAAGGTACATGAGATTTACCACACACCACTTCTTTGATTTTTTCTTGTAGGTGTTTGAGTACTTTGCTTCACTCAGGGAAGATGGGCAATCTTTTATGACTCCATCCGATTTGATGCGTGCCGTCGTCCCAGTTTTTCCATCAAGTGAATCGAATGCCACGAGAGAAGGAAGTCTTGGTGGGGAGAGATCTCCAGGAGAGCTTAGTTGTCCTCCATCGAAGTTTTTCATGCTTTTCGACACAAATGGAGACGGGCGAATATCATTTCCAGAGTAAGAACTTTGCTGGTGACTGTGCACAATACTAACCGCTGCGTTGGAGAGGCCAGGTTTATATTTTTCGTTACTCTTCTCAGCCTGCCGGAAGAGAACTTCAAGACGACTTTTAAAATGTTCGACATTGATGGGAATGAGTATGTGCTGCTGTGTAACTTTCTTCCATTGTGTACTGACTGTGACTTCTTTTCAGCATGATTGACCGGGAAGAGTTCAAAAAGATCATGAGTATAATGAGATCGCAGACTAGGCAAGGCCTTGCGCAGCGAGACGGTCGTCGAAGCATTGCTGTGAAAACTGGTGGCGACTCTGTTGAAGAAGGCGGACTCGTGCAGCTCTTTTTCGGTGAGGATGGGAAGAAGCTTTTGAACTTTGAGGATTTTGTGTCTTTCTTATGTGACCTTCATGAAGAGGTAAGCATTGGTTAATTTCAAACAACTTAACTTAAAAGATAGCTTCTTGCAGATACTAAAGCTGGAGTTTTCCCATTATGATTTCAAACAGAAAGGACATATCTCTGCTCGCGATTTTGCGTTGTCCCTAGTTTCTGCGGCCAATTTGTCCAAGATAAATCAGTATTTGGACCTTGCGGACGCTATTGACGACGATCCCAAGTTTAAATCCTTGCGTATCACTTACGAGGTTCGTTTAAACAAAGGTTTAATTGTTAGCACGGGCTGATTTCAAGATCTGCAGGAGTTCCGGTGTTTCGCCCAACTTCGAAAGAAACTTCCCACTTTAGCCTTGGCAATTTCGAGCTTTGGAAAGACGTCAGGCTTATTGACGAAGTCGGATTTTCAACGAGCGGCAGCGCAGGTGGTGCATCATTGAATACATTTAACTGTTTTAGTTCTATCGTTTTTCTGCTGATTGCTCAGGTCTGCAGTGTGCCCCTGACTGATGCTGTGATAGACGTCGTGTTTTATATTTTTGATCTGAACCGAGACGGGAATCTGAGCATGGAAGAATTTCTAGGTGCTCTGCAGAGGCGAGAGGGAGATACTGGACATCCAGCGGAGGCAGGCATTGTCCAGGTTTTGAAATGTTGGTGGAACTGTGCGCGTAACTGTCGGAACGAGAAACAGTGGATGTCGGTTTGATAGAATCTGTTACAACATGAAACGCAGGTACGACTGACTTTAAAGCGTCCTCCACAACACAGATATTTTTCTATAATGGCTAACAGATTATTTACAGAGTGGATCTATAAGGACCTGGAATCCGGTAAAGTGCTTTTGTAAATTTTTACTATAAGAAAACTAATGACCAACCTTTCTATGCAGCAGAATACGGTTCATATAGTGGGTTTTCCAGATTTCAGGATCCAGCTGAACTGGCTTGCACTTGCCGCACTGTGAAGCGGCTTGGCTTTCTTCTGAGCTCTCTGTTCCAGCTTTCGGAAACGCTGGACCAGGCCGCAGACGTAGTCCTGAGCTTGTTGAGCTTCACTGGAAAGGCCTGTCAGGCTCTCAACTTTCCAGGTCTGAATCAAGTGCTCCATAATGTCGGTGTAATCCTTGGACGTGTACACCTTGCAGTCTTGAGCGATCACGGCATAATCTCGGAACAAGTTGGTGTTTTCTCCATCAGTCATCAGGTGTGCCGGCATTGTTATCTTCTTCTTCATCATCTCCTGGAATGCCAGCATTACCCCGTTCGGATCGATCTCAAACAGCCTTCCGACGATTCTGGTGTATGCTATCTCGTGCCTCTTCTCGTCTGACGCTATTATTCCACAGACAGTTGCCAGCTTGAGATCACCGTATTCTTTTGCGTGGCGTGCCGTGTTCCCATGAGAGATAAATGTCGCTCTTTCTTGGAAGGAGGTGTAGATGAAACCATTGTAAGGATCATTGTCGATCTGAGGTTCCTGCAAAGGTTTTTCTCGAAATTAGACTAATGCTTCAAAGCATTTTGCAGGCTGCTGCTCTTACCATGCCGGAGCCGATCAAGTACTGGGTGGTACGTTCGACCATTGTCATGTTGACTCTTCCTGACAAATACAGATATTTGTTGAGCAGCTCTCCATGCCTGTTCTCCTCGGCTGTCCAGGCCCTGATCCAAACTGCCCACGGGGTGTCACTACAGCCCGACTCGTCTCTCACGCCTTTGAAGGTGTTGAACATCGTCTGATAAGTCGGAAGAGCTTCCTCTGTGATCATGTCGCCGATGAGACACACCAAGTGATCGTCAGGGAGACTGGAAACTCTCTTTTGGAGCTCCAAGACCTCATCGTAGAATGTGGGTGAGGAAGAGTCGGGAAGAAAGTCTTGGGGCTGCCAGCATTTCTCGACAGGCTTGAGAAGAGGGAGGAGACTTTTGACGGCCCAGTCACTCATGGAGTCGATGACTTCCACTCTGTCCCGCATAGTCGTCTCCGGATCACGTAAGTTGGAACTCTGCCTTGGCCTGCTGCTTACGAACACCGGTTCCGGCTTCTTGATACTGATTTCTAGCGTGGAATTTCTACAGGCAAACATCTTGTCAAAAGAAAGACAAAGCAGCGCGATACGACAAACCTTGGCGCTGTCGGGGCGGCAGTTGCTTCCATTCTGATCCGGCTTGCTGCTCGGGTACTTCGGAGCAGCTGCAAGTTCGGGCATTGGAAGTCTTTGCTGGAGAGATGATGCGGCATCGGCATTGTCTTGGAACTCATCGTTTGGAGATCAGCAAAAGCAGGAGCGATTCATTGAACGAGTAAGTGACCGAAACGCTGCTCTTTCTCCTCTCTCTTGCACGCTTTCTAAATACATTCTATTTCACAGGGCAGGGGCAAACTTTGAATGCTTGAGCACGAATCGAGAAGGGAGGATTTACTTTACTTTCTACTACCGCCGCATGAATGAAGGAAGGAAGGAAAGGAAGAATAGGGGGGAACGGACAGACATGCATTCCGGGGAGTCAGAGCGCCATTGCTCCACCGTTCACCTAACTCAAAGAACACATTGATTTGGCAGACGCACAATAGGAGGAGGAGCGGGTGGTAGCAGCTATTGCGAGAAGGAAAAATAAAGCAAAGGCGCGCACTCTTTCGACATTGAGATATGCTTCCTAATACTTGGAGCCGGGGCGACGGAACAAAGAGATCATCAATTCTGTTAGGTGGAGACGTCTTGAATGAGCGAGAGGAACATTCATGAGACAACTTTGGAGACCAAGCGATTACAGGTAAGAACTTTCTTTCCTTTGCTTGCTGTGTGATGGTTTGGTTTCTTCAATCTTCCGTGTTATGAGTGAGTCTTGTGTTTGATAGTTTCTGACCCCTTGGAGGTGTCTGCACCGCAGGGAAAGGAGGAAAAAAGAGGAGGAGGCGAGCGAGGAGGAGGTGAAAGGGAAATTATCACCAACTTTCCCTGGCGTTTGCAGATAAAGCATGTGAAAGCGTCGGTATTCAATCACAAGTACCGTGCTAGCTCCAGCTGCTGCTGCCGCCAGAGCTCGAAACACAACTTTAAGGTTTTTATTTTTCTCTTGTTTGTCCTGACCAGATTTTCATGTTCCAGCCGCGTGAGATTCTATCGGGTAAAGAAATCTAGATTTGTCAAACCTTTCCTCCTAAGTACAGCCTGGCCCTTTGTTGTCTGCACTGTGCAGATTCTGGAGACGAAGTCTTTGAAAGAACAAAGAGAATCTGTGCGTGACGACGGGACTACACTTCCTCGACTAGACTCGTGTTTTGTTAATCGCGGGGGGAAACATCAGCGACAAACACAGAGGAGTGAAAAGAAAAGAATGGAGTCATTCACCATTGATATCAATGAGGTATGCCCACCATGTCAACAACCACTGTCCCGAGATATTGAAGGAACCAAACTCATAAAACTTGTGCTGCCAGAGAAGATCCCCGCCACTTTTCAAGTTATGGTACACACACACACACACACACACACGGATGGATATCGATCCAGCGCGTCTCTTCTGTAAATATTGCTCTTCTTTCTCTCTTCCAGCTTGCTTGCTTGTTGACGTTTAACTTGAAAACAAGTTGTTCCTCCGTTGCGAAGAAAAGGAGCTATGGTACCACGTAGTTGTCTTCTACAAAGTTAATGTAGCTGGAGGGACTGCGAGCCGAGAAGCATCTCTTCCAACTCTTTAAAGCCTCTGGACACGGGCTCAACCGCGGCCGGAGAGAGCGGTAGCCTCTTGACTTCCGTCATGTACCTGTGGAGCCAAGAAAGAAGTAAGTTCGCGAAATCCTATCTAAAGCTTGATGAACGCAGCACCTGTTCACTGTGCTACACAGGCGGTCCCGGACGCCAGATGAATCGTCAGAGCCGGAGAAGCTGCCGCCAATGGATCCAATGCGCTGGGCCAGCACCAGGATTGTCCACTCGCGCATCACGGCGAGCGCCGAGCGGAGGAGCCGCAGCCGCAGCGCTGTACTTGGCAGCACCGAAGTACTACTGAGAAGCTGGTCATAAGTTCGTTGTACTGGCTCTGGGGAGTCGTGACAGGCGGCCAGTAATGCTCGTGGAATGTCCTCGTCTCCAACGATTTCCAAGCTGGATGATACTCTCTCCTGGGAGGAAAGATCGTGACGCAAAACGATGAAGAAAGAAAGGAGGGATCTACCTCGGCTGCTCGCTCTAAATGGAGGCAGATAGAATCCAGTGGCATGCTACCGCCGTCGCCGGGATAGAGCTGGGGGCCAACTCTCTTCACCACCGTGCAGGCCTCGGCTATGCCTTTAATCGTGATGGCTTGGTCTATCAACCTCGCCCACGTCTCGCGCATGACATTGTTCTCAGCGTCGCTCGTGTAGTGTGAGAAGTGGAGGATTTCCAAGCACACCTGCAAGACGAAAGCGAAAGGTTTTTTTTTTTGCTCGTCAGAAAGGAGTAAAAGAAGATGTGAGAGTTGGAGGAAAAAAGAAATGGAAAGAAAGAAAGAACTCGCCTCCCAAAGCTTGAAAGGAACCGCGTAATTGTTGTAGAGCTGTGTGATGCTCTTAAGTTCGGCACCCAGCTCCAGCGCTTTCTCCCTGGCGGCACGGAGGAAGGCCTCGTCGTCCGCAAAGCCCTCCGGCGGGAACGCGTCCATCGCCATCTGAGAAGAAATGGCCTCGAGCTCGGCCTGTATCTTAAGCTGGAACCGCAACACCGCGAGCTTGCCCTCCAGGAGCTCCAGCAGGCCGCTCTCTCCGACCTCCGCGTTGGATCCCAGAGCTCCGTGGCGGATGCTTCTGGCTTGTACCACGGCATGGCTGAGGTACTCGTGCCTGGAGAAACAAAAAACACTCGAGCCTAGTAAACAACGAGCCTCGAAAGAAATATTGCACGGTACCTGGCTTCCAGCGTGAGCTGCTCACCGCCTTCGCCACCCTTTCGCTCGCCGAGGCGCAAGAGAACGTAAGCCGCGAGCGCATGCTGTCTCTTGTGCACGTAATATCTCGAGAGGAGCTCCAGGTACTTGGCTTGGTGTGTAGTGATGGGCTTCATCAGATGGATCACGGAAGGTGGCGACGTTATTCCTCGGGGGCTCTTCGCAGGCTGGTAAAAGAGAAAACAAAACGTTGTTAGCATCAGAGGAAGAAAAGCTGCAAGCACAACTTACCTTTGCAGTTTGGAAATCACCAGCGGCTTGTAGAAATGGAACCAGGTCCGGTCCGGCTAGCTCGAGGAGCTCCTTCTCCAGCCCCAGCTCTATCATCGACTCGTACAAGTACTCGTGAAAAGCCCGGTCTGGTGAGCGTACGCCCAGCTGAACGATCTGTCTAACGTAGCGCATCCTTGCATTTGCATCCAGCGGGCCCATCTTTGATGCGTTCCCGTTGAGTGCGGTTTGCGGCACCAGTGAACGAAGCGCATTTGTTATCACTTCGTAGCATTGCTGTCTGGATGCGAGCGCCATCTTTCGCCGGTTCTCGTCGATATGCGCATTAAAAGCATCCTCGTTAGGATCTAAAGCTTTAGCCTTCCGGAGGGGAAGCTCGACAACTGCCTCGTAAAATCTGCAACAAACTTCCAGCTTGTGAATCGACCAGCCTGACTGGAGACTGTTTGTTACCTTATCTCTTCAAAACGCGGGCATACGCTCAGCAAATTTGCGGTTTCAGGAACCCTGGCCAGCAAGTCAAGTGCCTCTCTGGCCAAATGCTCACGGACTTCTACATCTCTAGCGTTTGCTGCCTTCTCCAAACACTGGACGGCTTGATAGAACTTATCATCGGCCTCGTTGTAGTAGCTCGGGCATCCATCGCGTAGCTTCGTACTTATGTCGTCAACCGTCCCTTTTCCCTCGGGAGATACATAGTACTATACATTCAAATAGAAAAACTGATGAAGGAACAACACTTAGAAACATAACGATCAAACGTACCTCCATAAGAGCACCAATAAGTCGCGTAGCTACGTATTCCCCTTCCTGAGAACAGACAAGCTGATGAAATGAAAGCTGCGCGAGCTGACGGCAGACTTCGGATTCCAGACTTTGCACTAATCTCGTCAAGTGATGCTGAGATAAAAGCTGCAGTAGAAACAGAGCTTCCGCAGATCTCCGGAGCAACCTTCTGACGCATTCCATCCCTCGCACCTACAGAGATTGTACATATCAGCCGACGTTCAAACACTGCAAAATCGTGTCCAACCTCCATGGCAGTAAGCTCAGCAGGACTATAAGCAACGCGTTGTCTCTTGGCACCAGCTTGAAGTCCACCTCCGGACCTCGCATAAGGCGTGTCGTATTGAAGCTTGTGTCCAGCTTCACTTCTGCTTATACCATTTCGATCTCCGTAGCCTGACAAATCGCCAATTCCCATGATCCGACCATAGTGACCGCGGCGTTGGTTCCTTCGAGCTCTGAGAAACATTTCCAGGGATCTGATCTTGTCCTCCAACGTATTCATTGCGTCCGGAGATATCCGACAAGAGATTATTCCACCTGTGTCCGTCACCATGTCGTTTCCAGAGTCACCTTTGGCTATAAATACTGGTAGCTCCCACACGGACCAGAGAAGCCTCGAAGCACACAAACAGAGGCCTTCGTGTGCACCTGAGAAAACAGGCTCGGCTTCTTGCACCACCTGTCCCATATTAAATCCACCACCTGTATTAACTGGTGTCGTCGTTGCAGCCCCTCCTTGCATTTGCGGCACTCCCACCAGCCTTGGATCTTCAAACGCCTCGGCAGCCTTCTCAACCACCGCTGTTGATATCATCTTCTCATCATAAGAAACAATGCGAGCTGCCAGCAGTAGACACATTGCCGCAGCTTCGCCAGCTCCAAAGCGCTGAAAGAACTCTTCCAGAATCGCTCTCGTGGTGTTCGATTCGAATAACCGCTGCAGCAAGTCCACTGGCCGGTTCATGACAATCTCCGTCAAGCCCCGCGTACTGGCGATCACTGCTCTCCGTCTAGGAAGAATATGTTGCGTCGCAAGATCTCCTAAAGCCCACAGCGCTCTTGCTCTACTTACTTCTCCCACAGCACCAGAGCCAAGGGTGCTGGAGTCCCATACCAATGCTTCAGCAATCACCGCCTGCTCCGGAGGTGGCAACATATCGACGATCGCATAAGTATGCTCGTCTGCTCCAAAAGTTGTCACAACTTCTCTCAAAGCACGCATGTTTCTTCCACTCGCACCCATCCCTCCATATGGCGAACTCGCACCAGGAATCAACGGAGAAGTGTAGTCTTTGCGCGCCACAAGCAACCGTGGAGAGGGTGACGAATCGGCCAGCAAGAAGTTTCCGCTTGAGTATTGAGCTTCTTGAACTTTCAGTCCGTCACCCTGTGGCCTGGTACCGATAAGAACGTTGCCTAATGAAATTCCTCCACCAACACCAACCGAAGGACCTGGCCTTGCGGACACTATTCTGAGTAGCGAAGGACGATCCATCGCAATCGTTCCACCAGCAGCCTGGCTTCCGCCCATGGTCGGAGTTGTCGACAGGTATACTCTGCGTCCATCTGAAACTATAGCCACCAGATGCAGCCACTTGGATTCCATACTCGAGAGAGGAGCCAGAGAAACCACCGTTGCCTTTGGAGCCCGACTGGTGCCACGCGAACCTGTGTTACGTATGCTACCGTGACGACCGTCTCGCTGATCCCCAAAGTTTTTTTCTTCGCCTACTTTCTTCGGGGCAGTATCTCCGTTTCTCCCGAGATCAAAAGCTTGGACCTTGGACTCCTGTGTGCGTGCGTACATGATGTTTCTTTCATCGTCAACGGCAATTTCCAAAATCGAATCTGCCGCTCCAAACTTGAGGCCGTTCGGTATAATCCACCTGAAATAAATTACATGTAAGAAAAACTTCAAAGAAAGTGATGAACATGTGTACCTTGAAAGCATACTGCCAAAGCCACCTGTATGGCAAATCTTACGGCAGCGACTCTGCCATCCTAGCCCTGTCGTGTAGAGCAGCTCGTAGATATGCCCATCACGGCCACCGAGAAAAATACGTCCCTTCTCCGTGGAAATTACACACGTCATGGTGACACCATCAGTCGGTACCGTGTACTCTGGTAATGGTTGTAAGGAAAGCTCGGAAAAAGCATCACTGCCGTCGCTGCTAGCACCGCAGCAGACGCCTAGAAGCACAAGCTTGTATAGCGTCAAAAGCGGGAATTCAAAGAATCAGTCCAGGAAGAATAGTTGGAGTGACAAAATACCTCGACAGGAGTTGCAAGCACTAGGAGGTGCTGAATCGCTTCTACGAAAACTCCAGCCTTCGCTTTCGCTAAGCCAACAGCACAAATGGCCTGCTCTTCACCGCTATATTCGACACAAGTTCCATCCCTGAAAGAGAAAAAACTTTACCAGGAGTGCCAACGAACTAAGCAAGGATCTTACCATTTATCAAAGCGCCACATAAAGAGAGTCTCGTCGACAGTAGCCCAAGCTCGTCTTATGGTGGGAAAAATCCCACAAAACGCCATCCCTTGGCCAACTCCAGCATTGTAGCACTCCATGACTTGAGGCGGCAGCTCCCTCTTCTTCGAGACATCGATATATGGAGGCCACTACAAAATTCACAAAGACCCAACGCCCTTTTAGCCTCCATCCGAGACGAAACAAGATCCAAAATCCCCCCTAGCTACAAAATCGCTACGCTAGAGCGAGCATTCTACCGCTAGAGCTATAACACATACCTCCTTCTGTGGACTCGCATAGGGATGGCTCGAATAGCGCCCGGCATCAAGAGCGTCTAGAAGATCTCCCGACGCGTAGCATCGCAAATCGCGATTGATAGTGTCGCTGAGAAGCCTACCAGCCGCCGCAATGTCCTCCACGACCGCCTCGTCTTCCCAGCTCATTGGAGCTCTCCCGGCGAGGCGACCCAAACCCTAAACCCTAGGATCTCACCCTAAATTTCACTACCCGTTATACCGTCATCGTCATCATCCTAGTCATCCGCCACGTCCGTATTAAGAAATTTTAGGGTTTAGGTTTTCTCTCCTCGAGCACCATGGGCGCGACGCGGAAGCTCCAGGGCGAGATCGATAGAGTTCTCAAGAAGGTCCAGGAGGGCGTGGATGTCTTCGACAGCATCTGGAATAAGGTATGGAAATCTATGGCGTCGCCTCGCCATTGATCGATCGAGAATTTTTTTTTCTTCTCGCAGGTGTATGATACCGAGAATGCAAATCAAAAGGAGAAGTTTGAGGCCGATCTCAAGAAGGAAATCAAGAAGCTACAGCGATACAGGGACCAGATTAAGACGTGGATTCAGTCCAGTGAAATCAAGGACAAGAAGGTGATTAGGCAGTTTCTTCTAGCGATTTTTTTTTCTTCATTCGTTTTGATAGGTAGCAGCGTCTTACGAGCAGGCGCTGGTGGATGCCCGGAAGCTCATTGAGCGAGAGATGGAACGATTCAAAGTTTGCGAGAAAGAAACGAAAACGAAGGCGTTTTCGAAAGAAGGTCTAGGCCAGCTTCCGAAAACTGTAAGTGCTGCCATTTTAGATTTCTTTGGTCTGACACGCAACGATTGTCTAGGATCCAAAAGAGAAAGCAAAAGCCGAAACACGAGAATGGTTAAACAATATGGTTCGTTTTGTTGTGGCATTAAGACATAACACGCTAACTATATGCTAGGTGGATGAGTTGAATTCGGGTATTGATGCGTTTGAGACAGAGATGGAAGGGCTGGCAGTGAAGAAGGGGAAAACTCGGCCCCCCCGCTTGGTAAGAACGTTTTTTCTCTCTTTTTTCCTTTTTACCTTCTCTCAAACTTCTTGCTTCCTCAGATTCACTTAGAAGAGTCTACTGCCCGTCACAAAAGTCATGTCATGAAACTAGAACTCATTTTGCGACTTTTGGACAATGACGAGCTAAGCCCAGAGCAAGTAAATGACGTCAAAGAGCTTGTGGAAGATTACCTCGAAAGGAATCAGGTGACTTTGCTTTCTCGTTGTTGCCTTGAAACCTGAATGGTGGCCGCTACAGGAGGATTTTGATGAATTCGCAGATGTGGATGAACTTTATAGTCAGCTTCCTCTTGATAAAATGGAGGCCATGGAAGCTCTGGACCTTGCTCCGAATGTGGCTTCAGCACTTGTGGTAAAGGAGAAGGTACTTAGTTATCTACACTGTGTTTCAAACTGTTGTCGTCTGCTCTGTAGGCTGCGGTTGCTGCCGCCTCCGGAGCTAGCGTGACAAATGGTGCAAGCGTTAAACCATCACTTCCGGTAAAACTAAACTTCCACGTAAACCTTTGGAAACTGTTATTTCCATTTCGTGTTTCAGGTTGCTGCCGCTGCGGCAGCTGCAGCAGCTGCTGCCGTTGCTGCTCAAGTTCCTCCACCTTTACAGCCCGTGGATGATATTACATTGGAAGACACATCCGCACGAACATCTCCCGTTCCAATCACCGCAAGCTCGCTGTCACCCACAGGATCGGCCTTACTGCAGACTACTGGAAGCGACGTAACTTCATCTCCAAGCGCTTCTGGTATCACGCAACGGACTGTGGCAACACCTCCTGGTTTGATTCCACGGCCAACAGCCAAAGGTGCGGTCTTGCAATCATCACCTGCAAAAGTCAAGGAGGACGAGGTGACGAGCCTTGCCGGGCGACGAGTAGGACCAGGTATTGGAGATGGAGGACTTTCTCGAAGCTTTGGCAGGCAAACAGCTGTTCCAGCTTCTCCTGTCGCTCAACCTTCCCCAACAGTCTCGAGCAGTCCAACAGTGCCGGAAGCTGCAAAACGGAATATAGCTGACGACAGAGCCACTTCTGGAGTCGCACCGCAGCTCAGTCCTTTGAGCACGCCGAATAAAGCTCCTTTTGGAGGAAAGGTTGGAGATTCCAGTCCGACAAGTGAGGCTCCGGGAACCCCAGAAACAGCCATTGGGAATAGACTTGGCCAGTGGAGAGAATCGGTATGTCGTTTGCAAGAAAATATATCGACCACCCGACTCTGTATCTTTTGTTTTTCCAGAGCCAGTTCCATGGAAGACCAGAGATTGTTCCAGATCAAAAACAAAAGTTCTTACAGAAGTTGCAGCAGGCCAATCAACAGACACAACATCTCCCTCCACATCTTACAAGTCCAGTTCAAAAGCAAACGCCCCAACCATCCTCTTTGCTTCATCAGGTAACCAGATACTGGTTTTGGAAAAACTTGCTCAAGGTATTACTCGCATCAGGCTCTTTTGCAGCAGCAGCAACAACAGCAGCTTTCTCCTCTAAGTACGCAATCTCCTACAACGCCGGTACCTGGACTATCAGCACCTGTCTCACAAGCACAGTCTCCCCCCCAGCCTCTGCAGCAGCCGCAAGTAACAGCAGCTTCCAAAGACGCTGGTTTGTTTTCCCTCTCGTCATGTTTGTTTTCGAAATTAATTGTGTTTTGCAGTGCCCCAACCTGATGCGATTCAAACAAGGACTGTGGAGCAGCAGAGTCCACTTGCAGCTAAACTTGCAGACGATAACACGACTGAAGCCAATGTACCATTCCCCAGAAATTTATCTCTGAGCGAAGATGACTTGAAGAATGCAGACACCTTCGACGTTCCAGTAAACTTTCTGTTCATAGGCTGTTTGGATTGACTATTGTACACTTTGATAGCAGGTTGGTGGCCCAGGAACGCTAGCGGAACTTAGCCAGTTGTCGAGGGATGCAGATTTCACGCCAGGGCAACAAGTCCCGTCAACACCAACATCATCAGTACCTGGTGTGATCGGTCGGAAGAGCAACACGGAACTTGGAGCCATAGGAGACAACCTCTCAGCTGCAAGTAGCAGTATGGCTCACGACAGTGTGTACAATTTGCAGATGCTAGAAGCTGCTTATCGCCACCTTCCGCTTCCAAAAGACTCAGAACGGCCACGCAACTACACCCCGGTAATATTTGCAGCAAACCCGCATCAGTTCACTTTCATTTTTGTGCAGAGGAACCCAGCTATCACTCCGCCTAGCTATCCTCAAGCACCAGCCCAATCCATCATCGACAACCCTGCGCTTTGGGAGAAGTTTGAGGTGGACGTCCTGTTCTATGCATTCTACTATCATCAGGTGTGCTCTCTTTTACATTCTGTTCTGTACAAATTACCACGGGTTTTGTGTCTTTCAGGGAACGTACCAGCAGTATCTAGCCGCAAGGGAGCTAAAGAAACATTCGTGGAGATATCACAAGAAGTACAACACATGGTTCCAGCGCCACGAGGAGCCGAAAGTCACAACAGACGAATTCGAGCAAGGCACATACGTTTACTTCGACTTCCACATCGTGGATGATATTCAGCAAGGCTGGTAAGTTCGTGCTTGTAAAAATCCGTTTTTTCTTGACATTCTTGGTGGCTCGCAGGGTCCAGAGAATCAAGACCGAGTTTACATTCGAATACAGCTTCCTCGAAGACGAGCTGGTGTAAAGTTTTATGTTTAATTTCACGCTAACTCCATGGCGCTCTAGGGTTCTTACGTTTACACAGGAATGCTTCGCACAGGCTCTGGCTGCACAGACTAAAGGTAAGTGCTTTCTCAAAATTCGTTTTTGGTTATCTCTCATGGTGATTTTCAGGGACTCATGGATTCAGACCAAGAAAACAGCTCTAGTGGCCCCTCGGGGAGCCTGTTGGAGAGCCTTGGAGCGGAGCTCGTGTCCATCCTTGCTCCAGTCTCGGCGTGCATGCTCTTTGTCGTCCTTCTGGTAAGAGCCCTCGTCGTTAACAGCAGCCAGCTCCAAGCTCCCGCCATAGCCCTCGTTATCTATGCCGAGGACCCCTCCGACTCCACCTCCGAGAAGCTCGGAGGTGCTCTCCTCAACGCCCTCGTCTTTGTAGCATTCGTCACAGCCGCTACGTTTTTGCTTGTGGGTCTCTTCTATCTTCGCTGCACCAAGTGCCTCAGGCTCTATGTTTCCTTCTCGATCTTCAATGTCCTCGTCTACCTTGGTGCTGCTCTCGGTGTGCTCTTTGTCCAGACTTACTCCCTCCCGGTTGACGTGATCACCTTCTCGGTGGTGATCTTTAACTTTGGAGTGGTCGGGGTGCTTGTGGCGTTTCCTGTGATGCCTGTCCCGATCATCTTCACTCAGGGGTACTTGGTCCTCATTGGTATGCTCACCGCTTTCTGGTTTACCTTCCTTCCCGAGTGGACTACCTGGTTCCTTTTGGTGGCTATGGCGTTGTATGACATTGCTGCGGTCTTGCTGCCTGGAGGTCCTCTCAACATGCTTCTGGAGCTGGCCAGCAAGAGAGAGGAAGAGCTACCAGCGCTGGTATACGAGTCCCGCCCCGTGGTGCGTCCCGGCCAGCAAGGCTCCCAGTCGAGACGGTGGAGGAGACGAGTTGTGGTAGCAGCGTCTCCAAGTACCTCAGCCGAGACAGCTCCGTCGAGAACATCGCTCTTTGCAAGGATCTTCGGCTACAGGGTCGTCAGCCCGTATCAGACTGTTAGCATGGAAGCACCTCAGCGAGCAGAGATTTTGCAAGCTCCAGAAGAAGAGGCAGTCGAAACAAGTCCTGGAGAGGCTGGGGATGGAGCTGGAGCTCCAGGGAACAGGGACAGGGATCCAGCGGAAGAAGCCATTCCTCTGATGAGCAGGCACGTAGATCACAGGATGGAAACACTCAGTGCTTTCATGGCAAACGAGGAGAGAGCCGCGGGGGCTATACACGACGAACTTCGCGAGCTTAACAACGATGGCAGTGAGGGTGGCGAGCTCGGAAGGATTGAGTCCGTGACAGAAGGTGGGATCAAGCTGGGACTCGGCGACTTTATATTCTATAGCGTGCTGGTTGGACGAGCAGCGATGTTTGATCTCATGACCGTGTGGGCCTGCTACTTGGCCATCGTTGCGGGGCTTGGTGCCACTTTGGCGCTCCTCGCAGTGTGGAGGCGCGCTCTTCCGGCACTCCCTATATCCATCTCGCTGGGCGTCGTTTTTTATTTCCTCACGAGGCTTGTATTGGAGCCATATGTTTTGCAGCTAGACACTCGCCTTGTGTTTTTTTAACTTATTATTAATCCTATAAACTCACTGAGAAAAAAAGAATGTGAAAATGTTTCCCCAAAATAACAGAGATTTAACTACTATAATAATTAATTTATTGTTAACGTTTGTGTTACTAATGGTTAAAGAGGCATTTAGTTTATCTCCTGCAGATTTATTTGTATACAAAACTTATGGGGATTTACACATGGCCAGAGAGACCTCCATGGCTGAGTTGTTAGTTTCCTTACGAAGAAATTTGTGGAATAGATTTCCGTATTCAATTGATGGAGCTTTTGGAACCACTCCAGTTGGTTCATCACATGCATACCAAGTTTGGGTTAAAGATAGTGGTCCTTTCATAATAAAGTTTTGGGTATTTGGCCCCATGAGTGACATGGGTTATGAATGTGGATATGATCCTAATAATCTACCTCTTATTTATAATTATATTATTTCAAGTACCATAGAAGGGTTTATATACATGACTTGGAAAGAAATAGTGACAAATGGTGCTTCTTATTTTTCTGGTGTGATTGATAATTTGGGAGTTCAGTTTTCACTACGGGATTATGATGGCTATCATCACAGACCATATGGATTAACCCATCAGAATAAATCATCTAATACATTTGGCATAATTACTTTAGAAAATATACATGAGTATTTAAAAAATCAGACAGAGCTACAAGAGAAAACTTGTAATCCTTTCACAAGTATTCTCTCAAGTTCATACTATAGGGCACCAAATGAATACCTGGCTGAAGGAAAATTTTTGCAGGCTCAAGATAGGCATATTTTCTTTATTGTTTTGACAGATTGCAAACTTGTACTGGTTATGAATGGACATGTATACATTATTTATGATCCTAAATTAGGAGTTTATTATACTTTTTGTGAGCTTCATATGCAACAAGATGGAAATTTAGTTTTATATAGTTCTACAATGTATCCTCGTTGAAGCACTGCTACAAATTGTGAGCCAAGTAAAAGTTGTCAAGCTCCATCTTATTTAATTCTTCAAAATGATTGTAACTTAGTTTTATATAGACATGGTGATCCACCATTATCAACATGGGACTCTAAAACAAATTGTAAATATTTCCAATAAGAAATTTTTATATTCATTAATTATTATTATTTATTTTATTAAATGGTTGATATATTAAAAAAGTAATATGTATTAAATGGTAAAATAAATTCTGGTTGATCTATGGATTAGATGCCTTCTGGTTTACTTTCTTATCCCATTTGATAACAAGGGAAGCTCTCACCACTAGTATACAAGTTATAGTGGGTTCCCAATCAAGTGTGGTAACAACATCTCCAAGTATCTTAGCCAAGGGAACTCTGTCAAGAAGCTCACTCTTTGCAAAGGTTAAGGTGTAAACCCAATATAAACTCTCAGCATGGAACTTCCTTGGCAAGCAGAGGCAGTGATATCACCAGAGACAAGTTCCAGAAGAGACTGGGAATGGAGGTGGAGCTTTAGGGATCAGGAACAGGACTCAAGAGGAAGAATTGCGCTCTCCTTGTCGCCTGCTCAACAGGTATTATACACAATGAACTGCATGAGCTTAACAATAATGGCAGCAAGGGTGGCAAGCTTGGGAAGACAACATGTAACTTTATATTCTATAGATGGTTGGATGAGTAGCAATGTTTGATCTCATGATTGTGTGGGTCTGTTACTTGGCCATTGTTGCTGGGCCTAGTGCCACTTGGTGCTCCTTGCAGTGTGGAGTGGTGTTGTGTATTATTTCCTCACAAGGCTTGTTTTGGTGCCATTTTCTTACAGCTAGACACTTGTCTCATGTTTGTATTTAATTTTTAATTTATTTTATTATATTCATCTATATAACCAAGAAAAATATAAAAAATAAATGAAAATGTTTCATTTGATATTCCAAGATTTAATAATTGAGTTGTTATTGCTAATCTTTGGATTACTAATAGTTAAAGAGGCACTTAGTTTATCTCCTGCAGATTTACTTGTATACAAAAATTATGGGGACTTACACATGGCTAGAGAGACCTCCATGGCTGAGTTGCTAGTCTCCTTACGAAGAAATTTGTGGAATAGATTTCCATATTCAATCGATGGAGCTTTGGAAGCCACTCCAGTTGGTTCATCTCATGCATACCAAGTTTGGGTTAAAGATAGTGGTCCTTTTGTAATAAAGTTTTGGGTTTTTGGCCCCATGAGTGACATGGGTTATGAATGTGGATATGATCCTAATAATCTACCTCTTATTTATAATTATATTATTTCAAGTACCATAGAAGGGTTCATATATATGACTTGGAAAGAAATAGTGACAAATGGTGCTTCTTATTTTTCTGGTGTGATTGATAATTTGGGAGTTCAGTTTTCACTACGGGATTATGATGGCTATCGTCACAGACCATATGGATTAACCCATCAGAATAAATCATCTAATACATTTGGCATAATTACTTTAGAAAATATACATGAGTATTTAAAAAATCAGACAGAGCTACAAGAGAAAACTTGTAATCCTTTCACAAGTATTCTCTCAAGTTCATACTATAGGGCACCAAATGAATACCTGGCTGAAGGAAAATTTTTGCAGGCTCAAGATAGGCATATTTTCTTTATTGTTTTGACAGATTGCAAACTTGTACTGGTTATGAATGGACATGTATACATTATTTATGATCCTAAATTAGGAGTTTATTATACTTTTTGTGAGCTTCATATGCAACAAGATGGAAATTTAGTTTTATATAGTTCTACAATGTATCCTCGTTGGAGCACTGCTACAAATTGTGAGCCAAGTAAAAGTTGTCAAGCTCCATCTTATTTAATTCTTCAAAATGATTGTAACTTAGTTTTATATAGACATGGTGATCCACCATTATCAACATGGGATTCTAAGACAAATTGTAAATATTTTGAGTAGATATTTATAAAATGAAGAAATTATATATTATTTAAAATACAGATAATTATTCTTAAAAAAAAATTCTTCTAATGTTTGAAGCCCTATGATATTGGTTTTTTTTTTGCCACATTTTTAATTTGAAGTGTAAAGCTCAAATAATTAATCTGATGATTTTAATTTTGGTTTTAAGTTTGTAAGATCTATAATTATATATACATATATATTTACTAGGTCATACACTAAATATGGTAATATAGCATATGCACCATCCATTTTGGATTGAATCTATTCCATCCATGCTTGATATAAGCAAGGGTTTAAACCCCAATTAATGTATCTATTCCTATATCCCAAACATTTACATTTGTGGAGGTGAGGGGCACTACAATTTATCTCTAAAGAGCCAAGCTTTTTAGTAGTGCTTTACTTAGTGTTTGGGTTTATGTTTTTAGTTCTTATTCCTTTGTTCTTTTTCATATTAACTTTTTTCTAAATCTAGAATTCTCACTATTGTTATGCTTAGATTTTCTTTTTCTTTTGATTTTTATTACCTCTCTTCTAATATGCACATTATCATCGATCAAAAAGTGTCACTTGAGGCTACTGATGCTACTCTATTGAATCGAACTTTTGATGCTACTCCATTGAATTGAGCTTTTGATATTATAAGGTGTGATCATATTTGTATTATGCCCATCCTTGATGTGTTGCCGTCACCAATATAGTGTTTCTTGTTCTAATATCTTGTTATCTCCCATTGAGATGGAGTGTGATCATAACATTAATTGGAGAGGTATGAATGATGCAATTTGGTTTTTATAAAATGTTTAAAGATCAAGTTTATGGGAAGACAATGTGTACAGAATGAATTTTAGATTGTGATAAGAAACTTGATTATTATGGAAGTAACTTTTAAAATGAGTTGAAGATGTTATTTGGTAGGTGTCAATTCTTCAATTTGCCATATAATCTTTTCTCTTTGTTTTTGTTTTTTTCCAAGCCTTTTGTATTTCTTTGTTTAAGCCACATTTTCATGTTTCTAGTGCTTTGTCCTCATTTAAAGTATTTCCTTCTCCTGACACATCTATCATTTATGACTTATGATTCTCATTTTTAATCCGACATTGAATTGAGTGTTTTCTATCCTCCTTATATGATGTTAAGTGTGTGTGTGAAGCCAAGAATTTTGGTTTTGTTTTGTTAGCAAAGTTTTTGATCAATTCTAGTGTTGAATATTCCTTTATTCCAAGGGTTAAGTCACTTTTTTTAGAGCTTCAGGTTAAATATATTTCCTCAATTGTAACTACTACTGAAAATTTTTGTTTTATTATTATTGCTAAGGAGTTCTTTTGTTCCCTTGAAAATATAGAGTTTTTCTTTGATTTTCCTGTTTTAAGTGTTGAGTTTGATATTAAGGAAATTGATGTAAGCTTCTGAATTTGGACTTCTAAAAGGTCACCTTCCTCATTATTATTTAAATCTAAGGACACTTAACTTAAAATATCCCAAAACCCTGTTACTTTTTATATTTGAACCCCATAGATCATTTATCAAATCATTTTCTTTAGTTACTTACAATTCATCATAAGCTTTTAAATTTAAATTTATTAAGAGGTCACTTAGTCCAATACTACTCAAACTCAAGGATATTTAACCTTAAGTATCCTAAAACTTTTAACCGATTAAAAAAGCAGGTGCAATTTTATTCATAGGCCCTTTCCTTTAATATTTGAACCTTATAAATTGTTTTTTCTCAAGTCATTTTTTTTTGTTGCTTACAATTGAGCATATGGAGTCTTTTGTTTATCTTATAAAGTTTTTTATAATAGGAGGTCTTATATTCTTTAAGTTTTTAGCATATTTCCTTCTTTTTATTTTCCCTATTTTTACTTTGACAATTATTGAAAATTCCTCTTCTAATGTTTCTTTATCCACTTTTTTTTCTTTTCACAATATTTTTTTCTCGATAAAATACTTTGAGATTATTTGGATACATTTGTTGTCCTATATATTGATGATGTTCTAGTCTTTAGTAAAATGTTGGAGGATCATTTGAAACACTTGGAGCTAGTGTTTTAGAAGTTGCATGAACACAAACTATATGCTAAGGAAAATAAATGTGCTTTTGGACAATTACACATGAACTTTCTTGGA